TCCACACACACACACACACACACACACACACACACACACACACACACACGCACGCATGCACACACACTGTGATGACGCAAGATTACGTCAGACATGTTTAGCAGATATAGGTTAGCAGAAACAGACTATAGGCCTAGTTGGTTGGTTAGAGAGGCCAATGGGCGCACAGGGCTGACCGGTCACGTGGGACGGTCAGCTGACCACTGAGGCGTGGGGCAGTAGAGCGATAGGCCAGGAGTTGTTAGGTAGCGGCAGAGACGGCCGAGAATGTAGATAGTTAGGAGATCATGATTAGCTAGCGAAGGTAGAAGGTGTTAGGTTGTAGAATGTAGAGAACAGTTAGTGTTAGGATTGGTCATGGGAGTGCGTAGTAGTAGGTAGCATGTGGTATGAACAGTCAGTAGTAGAAGTAAATAGTACAGTGTAGATCAGTTAGGTAGAAACTTGAACATATATATCATTTTAATAAAGAACAATTATAGTTGAACTTGAACTGTGTGTTATTGCATTCATTCGTGACGCCTTCTTAAAATCACCACCCTCACACACACACACACATACACACACATACAGACATACAGACATACGGACAAGATTTTGAAAACTATGTTTTTCCGACTCAGGGAGGTGTAAAACGTCGAGATTTTCAAAAATATCGATTTTTTTTTCACGATTAAAATACTTTCTCTATACTCTGTATATACGAGAAAGTAATAAACCGGGAGTGATCTCCCCTAAACTTTCTCGAATATTCTTATATAAAATAACAGGGGATGGTAACTCGGGCTATAGACATGATTTTTAATTCATTTTAAATACCTAAACTTTTAAAAATAGAATAAAATCTCGTGGAAAAAGAATTGCACACCAAGTGAACGCCAAATAAAATGTGCATAATAGTGCGCAATATTATTAGTACTTTATAAATTTACATTCGTTTTTTGAGAAATCGGAAATAGCGTAAATTAGTACTTCCGGTCGACGGAAATTACTCAAAATTTGACAGAAGGTAGAGAATTAGATCTTCTACTTACATGTCAAATTTCATTTATCTATCTGAAATAGTACTCAAGTTATAGGCTTTTGAAAAATTGAAAGTAGAAAAAGTACCACTTCAGGTTATCGGAACTCGCTGAAAAGTTGATACGGATCTAAGATTTTGATAAAATACTTATATATGAAATTTCATCAACACAGCTGTAACGGTACTCAAGTACTCACACACACATACACACACACAGATACGGACAAGATTGCAAAACTATGTTTTTCCATCTCAGGGAGGTGTAAAACGTCGAGATTTGCAAAAATCTTGATTTTTTTTTTGCACTATTACAAGACTTTCTGTATACTTTGTATATACGAGAAAGTAATAAACCGGGAGTGACCATTACCTGTGTGTTTAGTAATCATCATAAACCCGGCATTGCCCACCCAAACCACAACCAACCAAAACAACAAAACGCAAACATAACGCTAACACAATTACAAATACAAACGAAAACAAAAACCTAACAACAAACCCAACCACAATCACAAACACAAATACAAACACAAAGAAAAAACAAACAAAAAAGCCAACGAAAACAAAAACCTAACAACAAACCCAACCACAACCACAAACACCATACGAACACAAAGAAATAAACAAACGAAAAAGCAAACGAAAACAAACCAAATCCAAACGAAAAACCAGCCACAAACACAAACCCAAAGAAAAAAACACAAACGAAAAAGCAAACAAAAGCAAACCAAATCCAAACGCAAGACCAACCACAAACACAAATACAAACACAAACCCAAAGAAAAAAACACAAACGAAAACGAAAAAAGCTTAATAATCGACTATAGTACCCCAACTTATTCATAGTCTTTTTGCACTCACTTAAACGAACGTAGGTGCCAAACCAAACCAAATGAACAATTATAATACTCCAAGCTTATCCGTAAAATACCTACAACATTTGCACTTGATCAATCCCCTCTAATTATGTAATTATTTTTTTCCCAACACCAAAACAAAGTAATAAAAAGTAAATTCTTTTCCACGAATGCAATGTTTTATAAAGGGAAGTAATTGTGTTTTCCTAATTTATCAAAGGGAAGTAATTGCTAAAGGACTAAACATAAATAATTTTCAGACATAATTAGAATTTTTTTTACTTTTTTAAAATTGTGTTTAATGAACATGCCGACAATTATTACTATCAGTTTGAAAAATGAAAATTATTTCCCAACACTTTCAACAGTAATTTTTTAACTCATAAATTTAGACTGTGACTACGGTAAATAGTCTAACACTTAAATCCATAAAAGTATGTCAACGACAAACAAACTTATTACATGTTAGTTACATACAGAATTGAGCTTTATATATTAGATTTTGTTTATTTCCATGATCTCTTAAAGTCACTGTTTTTTTTTTTAAAGGGATGGTTAAATCAGAGAATGTGGAAAAGGCTCTCTCTGGGCGGGGACGTCCGGGAAATCGTAATTTGATCAAGTGTTTGCGTTTTTGTTTGAGTTTTCTTTTGTGTTTGTATTAGTGTTTGCGCGTTGCGTTTGGGTTTACATTTGTGTTAACGTGTGCCCCTTCTAAATTCAATGGTAAAGGTAGTTCGATTTGGTTATGTATATATCTATATCTATATATATATCTATATATATATCTATATATATATATATATATATATATATATATATATATATATATATATATATATATGTATATATATATATATATATGTATATATATATATATATATATATATATATATATATATATATATATATATATATATATATATATATATATATATATATATATATATATATTACGGTCAAAGCCCGAAGTCGGCCAATGCTAGGATTGGCCGGCCAATCCGCGCATTGGCCAATATCGCCTCCCATAGGTCGGTCAAAGTCCGAAATTTTGCTTGATTTTGGCCTTTGGCCCGCCAGTCTGCGGACTGGCCATGGTGGACCGGCCAAAGTCTGAAATAGCTCTTGATTTCGGCCTTTGGCCGGCCAGTCCGCGGACTGGCCATGGTGGACCGGCCAAAGTCTTAATTAGAAGATCATCTGGCTAGGGACGACCGGCCAAAGTCCGAATTAGAAGATCATGAGTAGATTTTTTTTTATGCCGTAAGGATCATGAAATTAAGTCTTTATTGATTATTAATTAAAGTAAATGACAGAAACATTCACATTTTTTATTGTACTATAGTCTCAATCTATCAATATCATCATTTGTTACAACAAGTTGAACTTTGTTGGCATTTAGAATTACATAGCAGCTTGTTTTTTTTACACTTGCAGCGATTTGTTGTGCACTTAGTTGTGCAATTGCAGCGAGTGTAGCCATGGCCCCCAGTCAATGATTGTGAAGATGCGATGGTTCGTAGTGATTTTTCCTCAGTGCCAACTGACGACAATAAGAGCAGTTTTTCGTGAAGAATAGAAAACTCACTTTTAGCATACAGGTGTTTAGAACACCATGTTCCTTTCCTAATTTGTAGAAACCGCCCTCGACGCTCATGACAACTGCAATGACGCTTCGGGGATCACCGTGACCTCTGTCAACATCTGGAACACTGAGGCGTACATTGTGACCCACATCAGCATCTTAAAATTATGTATTTGATGTTTTAAGCATCTTAGCACCTTGAGTTTGCAAGCTAGTATGAGCTGCTGACCTGTGTTCCATGATGTCTTGTTTGTTGTGACATAATCTGCAGGTAATGTTCCCTCCGTACCCTTCGTCTGGGTATTCCACAAATAGCATGGACATCGTTGCCACAGGATCCAAAAGAGTGAGCTGCACTACAATGTTTTTCACAAACTATACAGAATCTGTTGGCCACATTATTGTCACGCAACTGGTCTGGACGTTCCGCCACGGCAGTAGATGTGTTAGCTGAGGATGTCGTTGCATTTATGGCAACCTCCATTTCTTGTTCAATGTTCTCAAGATCTTCCTCAGTAACTATTTTATCGAGAGCCCATATATGGAAACTAACATGGATTTACATTTTTTTCTTTTGACAGCCATCTGCTATGTCTGTCTCATGGTCTGACGGCCCTTTTGATCCATGTCGCCTTGCAAATAGAATGCTATACAAACAAGAGCTAAACAATACGTTACTCTCAATGAAAACGCACCCAGAATAATGAAATGCGATCACAACTTAGTCTAGATAGAACATTGGCCAGGACATACCGGCCAGTGCGCGCATTGGCCGGCCAATGTACAAAATACGCTGTCAAGTTTAAGCGCTTCGGACTTTGGCCAGTACGTCCCGGCCAGTGCGCGCATTGGCCGGCCAATGTATAAAATACGATCTTAGTGCTAAGTTCTTCGGGCCAAGAGAGCCGGCCAATGCGCGGATTGGCCGGCCAATCCGCGCTTTGGCCGCAACTTCGGGCTTTGACCGTAACACACACACACACACACACACATATATATATATATATATATATATATATATATATATATATATATATATATATATATATAGGCCTATATATATATTATATCTAGAACCAGTCTATGTATCTATTTTAAGAGATAACATCATTTTTTTTTTAAATTAGATAGATATATAATCTAGAATTTATATTTAGATTCTAGGCTAGAGATCTACTGGATCACTTAGGGACTAGATCTAGATTTAGATCTAGAATCTAGTGCTAATTTTGAAAAGGAAAATGGGAGAAAACTCCAATATGATATGGAGGGAATTTCCCTTTTGATGAAAATGAAGTTCGGATCGATCCACGGTATTAAAGTAAAAAATAACATTGCATTTTTTGTTAAAATATTATTATCAAACATGATGCATACATTCAATTTTTATTTTTTAAGTCATTTTGAAAACAGGTTTTATCAACTTAAGTCTTCACATGAGAAGGACCATGTGAAGCTATGCAGTATCTTAACTATCTTTTGTGGTATCGATTTTATATCGCACACATTCAGCTACGGACTTGCCCGCCCCTTGCTTTAATAGACCTACCGAACGACGCCACATCTAAGCAAGGAAGAATCAATCAATGTGGTGGTGGTGCTCAGCTGCTTGTCAGAAACAACAACGGAGCCAAACGTAGACCTAGATTTCTCTAGATCTAGTTGTCATAACGGTGTTGTATTGATTGTGATATTTAACTCCGCATCCCTAATGGGTTAAAGGTAGATCTAAGTCTAGATCTAGATCTATATTGATCTAAGCGTACATAGATCTCTACATGGAATGCTCAGCTCGAGTTGTTGTGCCATCATTCCCTGACTGCATGGATTTAACTCAATCAAAACTTGGATATGAAGGCAAATCGCCCAGATCTAGTATAAAGTTTAAGAGTAACCTAGGAGGGATATGGCAGCTACGTCGTGTTGGTCCACCATCAACTGTTGCAAACAGCGCATCTTTAATAAGGTAATTATTAATTAATTAGAGGGGGGGGGGGGGTGGAATTTCAGTGTCCAATAATAATTATCCTATAAAAAATTAATAATAGAATCTTCTTTTAAAAAGGGGTGTTAGGTTACTGGTAGTTAACTAAATTAAATACACACATTGCTGGCTAATGTCAATGCTAACCCTGTCCCTAACCCCAACCCTAGTCCTACCATACACAATACACACCATATGCCTAACCCTAATTTCTAACCATAAAATTAGATTCTAGTCGAGATTACAATACTACTAAGTTAATAACCCAACACACACCTATTATAATTTTAAGGACGAGTCTATTATCAGACATCAGTATCTAAAATCATCCGCCTAATATAAATATATCTAGACTAGATCTACTAACTAATAATACTAATAAAAAATATAGTAGAGTAAATATTAGGCCTAGGCCTATAGGTAATCTAGTTTTTAGGTGCGTAAAATTAGCCGAGGCTAGTAAAGTAATATGAAGAAAAGTTGCCTCATTGTTAAAGCTTTAATAGAAGAATATTGTGATATAGGCCTATTCGTGTCAAATATTAGGCCTATAGATAGCTGAATAATAAACCAAAATCAATGGCTAAATATATCAATATAGGCCTAGGCCTTAACTTTAAACAGAAGTGTTTGCCAGCAAGATTTGCTATATTAACAGCGGCCATCTGTAAATTAGAGTGGTTTCCCCTGAAATTACCACTATTATTTTACAAAAAAAAAAAATAACTTAAACAAGACGGCTGCTAAAGTAAATGAGCTTGGTTGCATCTGATGTAAACATTGCTAGTCTTTATTTATTACTGAAAAGTTTTAATACAATTGTTTAAAAACAGGTAGATCTACATGTATGAAACTTTGAAACATTTTTGTAGCTTTCAAAACAAATGGACACCAGCGAGAAAAGTCTCAAAGGTATTTGAGAGGTCCATAAATTAATTTAAAAATCTTGCACGGCGTAGTTACAATTAATATGGTTATAAAATCCTGTTTGTCTGGTTTTTTTCGGACTTCACTAAAGATTGGATGTATTTGATGTTTTTAATATTTTCGGTAACTAAATAAAAAATAAAATAAAAAATAAAAAACAATTTGGTTTTCACGTGTAATGGCGACATAAACAATGGCATCCTGCTATTCGATAGGCCGCCATAAATTTTATTGTATACATTGTAAGCTAAAAATAGAAAAACTGGGTCATGGTGTTTAAATTTGCATTGTTATTTAAAAACTTGATCTGCAAAGTTTTGTAAACAAAATAACTATAAAGTGGGGCTGTCAGAAATCGATCACGGAGTTCCTTTACACACAGCCAATCATTGTTTGTCTTACGAAAGTGAAACATCGGGTTATAACTTAGGCTTGATGAAAATAAATAGAAATGTAGCCTTAAACTCAACAAATTATTTTCAAGTTCTCTGGATCTGCAACTTGTATAGCATTGATTCTAAAAATATTAAATTTCTGAATTAATTTTAGGCTTAAGTTTTTAATCAAATTTTATCTTTTATTATTTTTATGGTCCTAAATCTAAAAAAGCACATTTTTATTCCATGTCAACAACATTACGGAAGGATTTTCGTCAACTCACTGGTGTCCATTACAGAAATTTAATGAGTCATTTTTTTTTCACATTACTAGTCTTGGTCAATTTTACGTACCTAAAACGATAGATTACCGGCCTATAACTAGATCTATATACTATGTAGATCTACATTGTAACCATAGTGTTACTATAGGCCTGCATAACTAGTACATAGAATGTAGGACTAGGTCTATACGCTATCTATTAACTCTATACTAGTAGTAGTAGTAGTATGGGAGTCAATAGTATCAATACAACTTAACTATAGCCAATATAGTGGGAGTCTCTAGTATTACTTTACTTTAAGTACTTTAGTATTTGTTCATATAGAAGTTATGAAATTATATCTAGACCTTCCAACTAAATACTAAAACTAAAATAGACAAAAGTTATAAATATAATACTGTAGAGAGTAGGAGCATCTAGGGTGCGCCTAATTGGCCTAATACTTATAGACTAGATAAATGGGTCCGTTGTGGAAGAAATTCAAGGACTAGGTTGATAGTGTTGTCTTTTTCACTAAACCAATATCAAAATCGCCACCTCAACCTCAAATTTAACCGGAAACGAAAAATGTATTTAAAAACGGATTTTTATCCAGCATCATTATTTTAACTGGATCCAGAAGTTTAACTCAAAATATAACACCTTCTTCTTCTTCGTTCTTAATTTTTAGTGCTGGAAGGGATCGAGCATTTATATGACAGTCAGTGTTTGAATTCAAGACTTTTTTCAAATTTATCAACCATGAGCTTTTTGCCGACTCGACCACGCCTCCATGACAATTAAGGATACGTGTCAACTGGTTATGCGCCATTGAGGCCATTGACTCCGTTTTCAGCCTGCTTTTCTTTTTGGATTTGCTTCCATAGCCTTTGTCCAACCAAGAAGAAACTACACAAGGCAGCAGTTGTATGATTTTGGAGTTGTCTATAACCCCAACTTTAATCCTGATACTAATGCTTACTATATATATTACTTTGCCGGTATTTGTTTTGTATATCTACATTCACTTCTACAGTTAGACAATTAAATTAGGTATTTAATTTTTTGTCTCATTTATACATGTCATTATTATTGTGTATCGTTTTCGGCATTCAATTCTTTATTCTATTTTTAATTCAACAATCAATGTAGACATTATCACAATACTTTACCTGGTAATCTTGATCTACAATTTATTCAATAACAGTAACAACATTAGGCACAGAGGCCTTTTTTTCACACTGGCCGTTTATACAAAAAACCATAATAACAGCATATAACATAGCAGTATCATTGCATACTGCACATTCATACAAAATAAAGTAGTAGTCATACCCCTAAACCTTGCACCTAAGCTCCAACTTGACAAAATTCCTTTCAGGCATCTTTTCGGGGATGGGGGCAGTGTTTCTTCCAGACTTTTTTCTCCGGGGGGGGGGGGGGTCACTAGTAAAAGTGTATGTTTACTATATTAAAACCATCTCGTTCGGGGGGCGGTAGACTTTCTTTGCCCCCCCCCCCCCTTGATAGATGCCTGTAAGAAACTCTGGATGGGGGTGTCAGAGCCCCCTGAAGAACGTCAACCGCAGACCTCTTTTAAGATTAGACAAATAAATTAGGTGATAATGTTAGTGTCTTTGTTATCCAGTATTGATGGCATCATTATTAATGTGTTTTGTTTTTGGGCATTAGATTTATTTACTCTAGAATCAATGAAGTCATTTTTTTTGCTACTGAGGTAGCACATGGATAGTCTACTGAGGTAGCACATGGATAGTCTACTGAGGTAGCACATGGATAGTCTACTGAGGTAGCACATGGAAGGTCTGGTAGGACAATTTGTAAGTATGTTTTCAAGCGGAAATCCAACACCAATATTGTTTGTTAACTTTGGTCTTTGTTTTACATTGAGAAACTCTAGCTTTTCCCACTCCTAACTGATTACACCTGCTGCTAAATCTTTCTGTTTGACATAGACATATCCAATGTGCATAATTTTTTAAATCCACGAATACTATGAACTTTATCCATGTTAAATAAGAAAAAACTAAAACTAAAATCTTGTTCATTTTGAATAATAGACAGCGCAAATAGTACTGATTACTTGTATCTACATATGCGTAGAACATATCTCTGCTCAAATAATATTCCCTACTTAGGGGTCGTTCCAAAAAGCCTCAAAACATTTAAGATTGCGTTTACTTCATTGACTTCTAAAATCCACTCCTTCACAAGCGTTTACCAACATTATCATAAGTACTTAAAATAAATGAAATTCTTTTAAATCCGTAAACCACTTAGTATGCAGTGACATTTTAGGTATATGTAGTTCCAATTTTATTTTTTTAAATTTATATCTATCTTCACTTAACAGAGGGGAGGGAGGATAGTCCTACGGGGGTGTGTGAGGGGGAGGGGTCATGTCCTAGACCCGAGAGAGCTAGCTACTGTATTAGACAAACATAGGAGTTATCATTTGGATAAAGGTCTTTAAGCCCAAGAAAATATCCCCTCCCCTGCACGCCTCCCCGCTAAAGTTTATTAGTTCATTAACTACTGGTCTATTAACAATTACAGAAGAACTAAGCAGCAATTTAACAAACACAAATTTAAAATATTTTTTTTTGTTGTGCTTTTTTTATTTTTATTTCAAGCATAAGAATAAAATACAAGACTGTTTAGACTCATATGACTTTGTAGCTAATCAAATAATACAGAAATAAATATGTATAGGTTGTTTTATCAATAAATTTAATGGGTTTTCACAGCCAACTAATAATAGCCTGTTTCTTACAAGAAATAGAATGTTACTCATTAATACAAATAAATCCTCCCATTTAGGAAAAGCTTTAATGTGTAGCTGTTAGATAAATGGCCAGTAGTCCTGAAGCAAAATCTAGCTAAACCATTCAATATACCTGCCAAATATTTATAAACCATTATCAAAGGTGTTTTGTTCAAAAAGGTTTTACTGAAATTTATTTGAACTTAGTTCAAATCAGTTCCTATATTTGGCTCAGTAACAACAAACCAAGCAGCCAGATTGGATAGAGTCATGTTTTAAAACTTTTATTAAAGACATTTTGCTTTTGTTTCAGGCTTAAAGAAGATGGGAAAGTAACAATAGGTCGTGGACCTGCAGCAGATTATTTCTTAGACTCCGCCATCACTTTAAGACTCATATCACGAATACATGCATCTATAATTGGAGAAAAGCAAGAAAATGGTTGGCCTAAGTTCACTATTGTGAATAGTGGTCTAAATGGCACTTACATTAATGATATTAAGGTAATCAATTATATCACCTTGATCTTTTATTATCATCTTTTCCAGTTAATTCCCAAGACACAAGGGGTAGATAAAGTAGCGTTCATCTGTTTCACTGACCTTGGCGTACAGGGGAATAATGTGGTCAGCACTATGCCCAGCCAATTTTGTTTTCCTAATATGAGGAAGGTACCCATTAGAGCTAGGTAGGCTCAGAGATGTCTTACAGACTCTAGCCAGGAACCAGAACTCAAGGGGTCAGGGGTCATGAGCTCTGACCACCTAAACAGCCTAAAGATGAAGATTTAAAGCTAGTGCAGCTCTGACTATCAGCTGACTGTCTGTGTCAAATAAATCAGCTGACTGTCAGATAAATCAGCTGACTGTCTGTCAAATAAATCAGCTGACTGTCTGTGTCAAATAAATCAGCTAACTGTCAGATAAATCAGCTGACTGTCTGTGTCAGATAAATCAGCTGACTGTCTGTGTCAGATAAATCAGCTGACTGTCTGTGTCAGATAAATCAGCTGACTGTCTGTCAGATAAATCAGCTGACTGTCTGTCAAATAAATCAGCTGACTGTCTGTGTCAAATAAATCAGCTAACTGTCAGATAAATCAGCTGACTGTCTGTGTCAAATAAATCAGCTGAGAGTCAGATAAATCAGCTGACTGTCTGTGTCAAATAAATCAGCTAACTGTCAGATAAATCAGCTGACTGTCTGTGTCAAATAAATCAGCTGAGAGTCAGATAAATCAGCTGACTGTCTGTGTCAAATAAATCAGCTGAGAGTCAGATAAATCAGCTGACTGTCTGTGTCAAATAAATCAGCTGACTGTCTGTCAGATAAATCAGCTGACTGTCTGTCAGATAAATCAGCTGACTGTCTGTCAGATAAATCAGCTGACTGTCTGTGTCAAATAAATCAGCTGACTGTGTCAAATAAATCAGCTGACTGTCTGTCAGATAAATCAGCTGACTGTCTGTGTCAGATAAATCAGCTGACTGTCTGTCAGATAAATCAGCTGACTGTCTGTGTCAAATAAATCAGCTGACTGTCTGTCAAATAAATCAGCTGACTGTCTGTGTCAAATAAATCAGCTGACTGTATGTGTCAGATAAATCAGCTGACTGTCTGTGTCAAATAAATCAGCTGACTGTCTGTGTCAAATAAATCAGCTGACTGTCTGTGTCAAATAAATCAGCTGACTGTCTGTCAGATAAATCAGCTGACTGTATGTGTCAGATAAATCAGCTGACTGTCTGTGTCAGATAAATCAGCTGACTGTCTGTCAGATAAATCAGCTGACTGTATGTGTCAGATAAATCAGCTGACTGTCTGTGTCAGATAAATCAGCTGACTGTCTGTCAGATAAATCAGCTGACTGTCTGTCAGATAAATCAGCTGACTGCATGTGTCAGATAAATCAGCTGACTGCATGTGTCAGATAAATCAGCTGACTGTCAGATAAATCAGCTGACTGTCAGATAAATCAGCTGACTGTCAGATAAATCAGCTGACTGTCTGTGTCAGATAAATCAGCTGACTGTCTGTGTCAGATAAATCAGCTGACTGTCAGATAAATCAGCTGACTGTCAGATAAATCAGCTGACTGTCAGATAAATCAGCTGACTGTCTGTGTCAGATAAATCAGCTGACTGACTGTCAGATAAATCAGCTGACTGTCTGTGTCAAATAAATCAGCTGACTGTCAGATAAATAAGCTGACTGTGTCAGATAAATCAGCTGACTGTCAGATAAATCAGCTGACTGACTGTCAGATAAATCAGCTGACTGTCTGTGTCAAATAAATCAGCTGACTGTGTGTGTCAAATAAATCAGCTGACTGTCTGTGTCAGATAAATCAGCTGACTGTCTGTGTTAAATAAATCAGCTGACTGTCAGATAAATTTGCTGACTGTGTCAGATAAATCAGCTGACTGTCTGTCAGATAAATCAGCTGACTGTCTGTCAGATAAATCAGCTGACTGTCTGTCAGATAAATCAGCTGACTGTCAGATAAATCAGCTGACTGTCTGTCAGATAAATCAGCTGACTGTCCGATAAATCAGCTGACTGTCTGTCAGATAAATCAGCTGACTGTCTGTGTCAGATAAATCAGCTGACTGACTGTGTCAGATAAATCAGCTGACTGACTGTGTCAGATAAATCAGCTGACTGTCTGTGTCAAATAAATCAGCTGACTGACTGTGTCAAATAAATCAGCTGACTGTCTGTCAGATAAATCAGCTGACTGTCTGTGTCAAATAAATCAGCTGACTGTCTGTCAGATAAATCAGCTGACTGTCTGTCAGATAAATCAGCTGACTGTCTGTGTCAAATAAATCAGCTGACTGTCTGTCAGATAAATCAGCTGACTGTCTGTCAGATAAATCAGCTGACTGTCTGTCAGATAAATCAGCTGACTGTCTGTCAGATAAATCAGCTGACTGTCTGTCAGATAAATCAGCTGACTGTCTGTCAGATAAATCAGCTGACTGTCTGTCAGATAAATCAGCTGACTGTCTGTCAGATAAATCAGCTGACTGTCTGTCAGATAAATCAGCTGACTGTCTGTCAGATAAATCAGCTGACTGTCTGTCAGATAAATCAGCTGACTGTCTGTCAGATAAATCAGCTGACTGTCTGTCAGATAAATCAGCTGACTGACTGTGTCAAATAAATCAGCTGACTGACTGTGTCAAATAAATCAGCTGACTGTCTGTCAAATAAATCAGCTGACTGTCTGTCAGATAAATCAGCTGACTGTCTGTCAGATAAATCAGCTGACTGTCTGTCAGATAAATCAGCTGACTGTCTGTCAGATAAATCAGCTGACTGTCTGTCAGATAAATCAGCTGACTGTATGTGTCAGATAAATCAGCTGACTGTCTGTGTCAGATAAATCAGCTGACTGTCTGTGTCAGATAAATCAGCTGACTGTATGTGTCAGATAAATCAGCTGACTGTGTCAGATAAATCAGCTGACTGTCTGTCAGATAAATCAGCTGACTGTCTGTCAGATAAATCAGCTGACTGTCTGTCAGATAAATCAGCTGACTGTCTGTCAGATAAATCAGCTGACTGTCTGTCAGATAAATCAGCTGACTGTCTGTCAGATAAATCAGCTGACTGTCTGTCAGATAAATCAGCTGACTGTCTGTCAGATAAATCAGCTGACTGTCTGTCAGATAAATCAGCTGACTGTCTGTCAGATAAATCAGCTGACTGTCTGTCAGATAAATCAGCTGACTGTCTGTGTCAGATAAATCAGCTGACTGTCTGTGTCAAATAAATCAGCTGACTGTCTGTGTCAAATAAATCAGCTGACTGACTGTGTCAGATAAATCAGCTGACTGTCTGTCAGATAAATCAGCTGACTGTCTGTCAAATAAATCAGCTGACTGTCTGTGTCAGATAAATCAGCTGACTGTCTGTGTCAAATAAATCAGCTGACTGTCTGTGTCAAATAAATCATCTGACTGTCAGATAAATCAGCTGACTGTCTGTGTCAAATAAATCAGCTGACTGTCAGATAAATCAGCTGAATATCATATGTAAGGTAAAGCAACTGTTTTTATCAAATAGATTTAGCATCATTTTAACTCAAGAATTTGGTAATGTTCAATCTCTACAGATGGGCTTTCACTCTGAAAACAAACAAATCCTTCAAAAAGGAGATAAAATTACGTTTGGGCATCCAGGCTGTGCCTCCATTCAACCAGGTCACTATGCTCCTCAACATGACTCAGAGTTTCAGTTCATTGTAAGTCTCAAACATTCTACATTGTAACTTTTATAGTAGAATGCTTTCAATCGAGTTGAGTTTTAATATGTACATATCTGTGTAATGTTTTCTAAAGATTCCATCAAATTATTTCCCCAGTTGGAATGTGTGTCACCCCAACAAGATGCTGAAAGTGAAAAGTTGAACACTCATGTGCCAAAGTTCAAATGTAACAACAGTTTTCGCCAGAGTTTGCAACAAAAACTAAAAAGTGTCATTACAGGAGAAAATTGTAGGACGCCCGTCTTTGTTCCAAATGGTCATTGTGTGATAGAAAGTATTTCACAGCTTGCAGACTCTCCTCATAGCAATGCCTCAGCATCAGAGAAGGAGAATCACTTAGCAAATTCAGGCAATGAAGAAACCAAACCCATTGTAAGCGCATCTTTAGACTGTGCAATCCTAGCATCTAGTAGTTGCAAACAGAGAGCACTCAATGGGTCCAACCAATCTGATACACACAGCCAAAGTGCTGATCAAAAGCTCTTGATAAGCTCAGGGTCAGCCCATCATGTGGAGAGTAGTATGGCACAAGCTCACAATGTCAAAATATATAGCACTGTCTCTGAAGATTCCAGTCAATCGTCCAACTTTCATGAACTCATGCATATGTCACCTTCAGCATATCGAACAGATGGTGGTGGGGTTGAGATTAACAGTACTACCATCATTCTGCGAGATGAGGACAGCGATGAAGGCTCCCATAGCCCAGAGATAGAAATTGTTGGTACTTTGAGCCCAAATCTACCCACTCGAATCAAGGTTGAGTCTGGTTATGATGATAGTGAAGCTGAGGATGTAACTCAAGCTGTAAAAGCTTCTGGGAAAAGTTCTCAAGGAGTACACAGTACTGTAACACATCAAGATAAAATAAACTATGAGAGCCCAGCAGAATCTATGTTAGAAAAAAGGTCTTTCTTGACTCCTACAGACTATCGAATCATAAGCAAGAATCATCTGCACAATGCTAGTGTATCTCCATCAGACAGTGTGTCCCGCTCGTGTGAGTCTGTGGAACATTACAAGGCTCCATCCCCCAGCTCCTCACCTACCTCTGTCTCCCCTCCCACTTTATCTCCTCAATCACCATTTGTACATTCATCCCCACAACATTGTTCTCATCTCCAAGAAAATACTAACCCATTGCATTCATCTGATTCAGAATCATCTCTTTCTTCACATACTACATCATCTTTGTCATCGTCTAAGCCATCATCACCCACATCCAGGACATCCTCGAGGTCATCACGCTCACACACCAGTGCTTCACTCAAAGAGCCACTGGTCAGGGACTTGGTACCCAACATGTACTCAAGCTCAGATGAAGATGAGATCTTCAAAGAAAATAAAACAAGTGAAATTGTCAAAAAAATTTACAAATCTCCCAACAAAAGACGAGAGGCTGGGAAAAGCTGTCAAGTTTCCAGGCGAAGTGTTTTGTTTAAATCTAACAAGCGCACCATTGACAGGTGAGTCACCATTTTTATGTCATCAGGCCAGTCACCATTTTTATGTCATGTCATCAAGTGAGTCACCATTTTTATGTCATGTCATCAGGTGAGTCACCATTTTTATGTCATGTCATCAGGTGAGTCACCATTTTTATGTCATGTCATCAGGCCAGTCACCATTTTTATGTCATGTCATCAGGCGAGTCACCATTTTTATGTCATGTCATCAGGTGAGTCATCATTTTTATGTCATGTCATCAGGTGAGTCACCATTTTTATGTCATGGCATCAGGTGAGTCACCATTTTTATGTCATGTCATCAAGTGAGTCACCATTTTTATGTCATGTCATCAGGCCAGTCACCATTTTTATGTCATGTCATCAGGTGAGTCACCATTTTTATGTCATGTCATCAGGTGAGTCACCATTTTTATGTCATGTCATCAGGTGAGTCACCATTGTTTTGTGGGGGTGTTGGTGTCATATTGTTTTGTGGGGGTGTTGGTGTCATATTATTTTGTGGGGGTGTTGGTGTCATATTGTTTTGTGGGGGTGTTGGTGTCATATTGTTTTGTAGGGGTGTTGGTGTCATATTATTTTGTGGGGGGGGGTTGGTGTCATATTATTTTGTGGGGGTGTTGGTGTCATATTATTTTGTGGGGGGGGGGGGGGGGGGGGAGGTGGGCAGCAAACATGCTTGAACCAGTGATGTGAATTGATTTGTCTAAACATTGAACTGTCTTTTTTTAATGACCACCAAATCTTATTTGGTGGTCACTTTTTATATTTTCATTTTAAAAAGAAATTCCTTCATTTTTTCTTGCAAATTATCTAGTGCATAGATTCTACTCGCTTAGTGAGTGTCCCTTAATTTTTTTCTTGCATAATATCTAGTGCATGTCCTTCATTTTTTTCTTGCAAATTATCTTGTGCATAGATTCTACTCACTTAGTGAGTGTCAAGGTAATGTTTTTGGTTTCTTTGTCTTCGCATCAAAGCTAAGTTAGTAATAGTCCTCCAGCTGGAAGTAATTACCTTCCCACTACTATTGATACTATCATGATAGCTATAGGTTGTCAAGCAGAAGAATTGTACTCAATAGACAAAGAAGTGCTTCCCATTGACTCAGTGGCAAGCTAAAATATGTATATTGATTGTTAGGATCCACCATCTTTGTCCCTTGATTCTTTAACTTTTGCTATGTGATGGCTGAATACATGTCTCTTGATCATTGTCTGTACTTTTTTCTTTGTGCTTTAGTTGTGTGTTTGTTTACAATTGAACTAGCAGGTTATTTGCTAGTGGCACAACATAATCTTCTGGGATGTGTAACAATAAACCCATGGAACTTAGCTAAGGCAGTGCACATATGACAGTATGGTCAAACAACATAATAGTTACATATTTGGATATAGGTTAGCACTCTGATTACAAACGGGGTTAATTTTTTTTTTTTTGAAGTTATGAAGTTCCTTTTCATTAAAAACTAACTTTATTGAGAGAACCGAGATACACCTTGAGTATACCCAAGGGAAAATACAAACAGGATAAGGAACAAAAAATTTCCACTAAAAGTAAAAGCAAGCAGACATAATAATTAATATCACTTAAGATAATTTATAGATTGAAGTTTGCAATGTTAACTAGTACTCTCTAGTAACATAAACATTGCAAGTCATAGGCTTGATAAAAAATGTGTTAAACTTTGACACCATTTAAATCTATCTATATATATAATTCTCTTCATGGACGGATCATGCAGGACACCACCACCACGTAATCTCAACAGACCATATCACTACCACCCCCACCAGTCTGCTGAGCTGTTTACAATCGTACTGCCGGGTAAAATTAGTGCCGGCTATTTGGGGCAGATAATATAGTTTTTATACTATTTGAAACTAAGGGGAGGTAATAAAAAGTTCTGCTTGAACTTTTCATTGTCATCTGTAAACTGTCATCACGGACGGCTGCTGTTGCAGGGGGGGGGGGGGGGAATAGGAGTGGAAAGTGAGGGTGAGGATAATCGTCCTTCATAGCTACTGATAGTGTTTTAAAGCAAAATATTTTCAGTCGCAGCATTGGTAGTGTCGAATTCACAAATTATGAATTAGTGAAAATTAGGAAATAAAATAACTAAATAGCGGCGTATGCTATGTCGCTGGTCACTCGTATTAATTATTTAAGCTACATTTATATGTGTAATTTAATAGTAATACTTTCAGTTAGATTGGTCCACCTCAATTCTTAAATAACTACAGATAATGTAATATCACCCTGTTCTCCATTATACCATGAATTTTGTTTTCATATCTGCTCTATCTTCAAGTGAATATGAATAGTAAATATAACGATTTATTTTTTTAAAAGAGAAGGGTGCTTTTGCATTAGTGTCTCTCTGATTTGGTAATGTTTTTAAAATGTTGATTAATTATTTATTTTGTTATCACAAACTTTAAAATTTTAAACATCCTGCAACTTACAGCTCTAGAATAAGTCTAGTTATGTTTCTTGTATTGCTTACAACTAACTGTTCTAGAATAAGTCTAGTTATGTTTCTTGTATTGCTTACAACTTACAGCTCTAGAATAAGTCTAGTTATGTTTCTTGTATTGCTTACAACTAACTGTTCTAGAATAAGTCTAGTTATGTTTCTTGTATTGCTTACAACTTACTGCTCTAGAATAAGTCTAGTTATGTTTCTTGTATTGCTTACAACTAACTGTTCTAGAATAAGTCTAGTCATGTTTCTTGTATTGCTTACAACTAACTGTTCTAGAATAAGTCTAGTCATGTTTCTTGTCTTGCTTACAACTAACTGTTCTAGAATAAGTCTAGTTATGTTTCTTGTATTGCTTACAACTAACTGTTCTAGAATAAGTCTAGTTATGTTTCTTGTATTGCTTACAACTTACAGCTCTAGAATAAGTCTAGTTATGTTTCTTGTATTGCTTACAACTAACTGTTCTAGAATAAGTCTAGTTATGTTTCTTGTATTGCTTACAACTTACAGCTCTAGAATAAGTCTAGTTATGTTTCTTGTATTGCTTACAACTAACTGTTCTAGAATAAGTCTAGTTATGTTTCTTGTATTGCTTACAGCTCTAGAATAAGTCTAGTTATGTTTCTTGTATTGCTTACAACTTACAGCTCTAGAATAAGTCTAGTTATGTTTCTTGTATTGCTTACAACTAACTGTTCTAGAATAAGTCGTTATGTTTCTTGTATTGCTTACAACTAACTGTTCTAGAATAAGTCTAGTTATGTTTCTTGTATTGCTTACAGCTCTAGAATAAGTCTAGTTATGTTTCTTGTATTGCTTACAACTAACTGCTCTAGAATAAGTCTAGTTATGTTTCTTGTATTGCTTACAGCTCTAGAATAAGTCTAGTTATGTTTCTTGTATTGCTTACAACTTACAGCTCTAGAATAAGTCTAGTTATGTTTCTTGTATTGCTTACAACTTACAGCTCTAGAATAAGTCTAGTTATGTTTCTTGTATTGCTTACAACTTACAGCTCTAGAATAAGTCTAGTTATGTTTCTTGTATTGCTGGCATGTGTCAGACTGTAATGAATTGATCATCTTCCATCAACAGCTTGAAGAGGTGTACATCCCCATTGTCTCCATCAGCGCACAATCTCTCTTCAGCAAAAATACTTCATAGGAGAAAAATGAACAAAAGTGATGGTAACCTGTTTTTCTTTTGTTTGTTGTATTATTACACCCTCTCTGTTAATGTTTTTCTTTTGTTTGTTGTATTTTTACACCCTGTCTGTTAATGTTTTTCTTTTGTTTGTTGTATTATTACACCCTGTCTGTTAATGTTTTTCTTTTGTTTGTTGTATTATTACACCCTGTCTGTTAATGTTTTTCTTTTGTTTGTTGTATTATTACACCCTGTCTGTTAATGTTTTTCTTTTGTTTGTTGTATTATTACACCCCGTCTGTTAATGTTTTTCTTTTGTTTGTTGTATTATTACACCCCGTCTGTTAATGTTTTTCTTTTGTTTGTTGTATTATTACACCCCGTCTGTTAATGTTTTTCTTTTGTTTGTTGTATTATTACACCCTGTCTGTTAATGTTTTTCTTTTGTTTGTTGTATTATTACACCCTGTCTGTTAATGTTTTTCTTTTGTTTGTTGTATTATTACACCCTGTCTGTTAATGTTTTTCTTTTGTTTGTTGTATTATTACACCCTGTCTGTTAATGTTTTTCTTTTGTTTGTGTATAAAATGTTCATGGATTCCACTATCAAGCTTCAAGGCTGATACATGAGGATATGAAGTCCAACTCTCTCACACTAAAACACCATTCCTAAGTTGTTGCATCCTAATACAACTCTCACACTAAAACATCATGGGTTAACATAGAATTAGAAGTGGGACACTAGCAGGGTATGGGTTAGCATAGAATTACTATTTCTCTCTTTGATTAGAGTTTCAAAATTATCAAGTTTGATGAGTGATGAATTTGGGCAATATATAATGATGAGTTTGTTTACAAACAATTTTTCCTCCTGAGATTCCTGTTGTGTTCAAATTGAAGTATGTCTTGCAGTGATTATAGCTGTATTATATTGAGTTGTTATGATATTTGTGCTGTGGAATAAAAACTTAATCACATACTATATCCCTGTAATGTAGAAATTTATTAGGCAACAAACACTTACTTTTTTTTTTAAATGACAGTAAATACGTAGTGAGTGTAGTGAATGAGTGAAGGGGGATGAATGGGGGTGAATGTTAATTGTACTTGTTACCCTATCCCGTTCGTCCTTATTCAGTTCTTGTGCTGTGAGTTAGTCCGGTTTGTACCAGTTAATGAAAGGGTATATAAGGTGTATGAAAACGTGTGTGGTTGCCTCAGTTTCGTCCAGATCTCCAAGGTTAGTATATGTTAAGTCTATACTAGTATTTAGCCACTGTATTGTAGTTTGTCCGTGTGTTCACAACAGTGAGGCATTAAAATTAATTCTTTCATTTAATAACTTATTAGATTGTTTCTTGGTTGAAGGCTTAAAGGATTGTTTAGTTTTTGAAAGAAATCAATAGGCAGAAGAGTCAAGGAGAAATAATTTCAGTGAATGTGTGAATAAAGAAATGATGGTTCACTTGTGCAATCAGAAACACAAACCACAGCACAATTGTTCTGTGAAAAAATTCATCCATTGAACGCTCCTCTGCATGAAGAAAAGTATTCTAAAATCTTTTCTATTTTATTTGCAGCCCATGATACTTGTTAAATAAGGTTTAGCTCAAGTAGGTTTGAAAATTGGCCTATTTAACCACAGTAAAATGTTCTTGAACATTGGTAATAACCAACCTGGTCTATGGAGCCAGTGAAGTAGAGTTGACCTGTTTCTGTGACCTCAGGGATAGTGTGGTCAGCACTGAATGACTGGCTATTGTTGTGTCCGTTTTACTGTGATATATTTCTTTGTGTCCATTCTTAGTTCTAATTATTTGATTTCAGAATCTCCATCCTCTTCAGATTTGTCAGATCTAGAAAGTGTCATAGAGAGAGACAGAACAGGCTCATCATATGTCAAACTAAAGCCAAAAGTCACATTAAAATCTTTAGATTATTCTCCAACAAATAGAGACTCAACATCCTTGATTTCATTTAACTCCAAGTCACAGCCGTCGCCAGCCCCCAAGTCACATCCGGCGCCAGCCTCCAAGTCACATCCGGCGCCAGCCTCCAAGTCACAGCCGGCGCCAGCCTCCAAGTCACAGCCGGCGCCAGCCTCCAAGTCACAGCCGGCGCCAGCCTCCAAGTCACATCCGGCGCCAGCCTCCAAGTCACAGTCAACATCAGCCCCCAAGTCACATCTGGCGCCAGCCTCCAAGTCACAGCCGGCGCCAGCCTCCAAGTCACAGCCAGCGCCAGCCTCCAAGTCACAGCCGGCGCCAGCCTCCAAGTCACAGTCAACATCAGCCCCCAAGTCACAGTCAACATCAGCCCCCAAGTCACATCCGGCACCAGCCCTGACGTCACCCCCGACATCACAGCCGGCGCCAGCCCCCAAGTCACAGTCAACATCAGCCCCCAAGTCACAGTCAACATCAGCCCCCAAGTCACAGGTAACGGCCCCACTATCAAAAAATGCATTTGCTTTGAACTCCAAAGAGTCCCCATCAATGGGGGGCAAGGCAAGTAAGTCTCACCCCTCAGTCAGCTCAGCCATGCCGCCTAAAGATTTAGATTTGTCTGATAATAATCAAGCAGCCAAACCATCTGCTGATCACCAAAAGAGCAGAGCTCCATCAGCAATGTCTGCCTCACACCCAAGAACTCAAAAGTTGAAGGAGAAACCAGAGCCTGTCAAACTGACCAGCTCTACTCATAATTCATCTTTGTCCAGCACTCAACTCTCTCCACCATCTTCTGTGCCTTCTTTAACTAAAGGAAGCACAAAGGCTGCAACTCCAGGCACACTAGCCAAGCGAAATTTAAAACCAGCAAAAGAAAGTAGCCTAATGAGTAAAAAGCAACAATCTCCTATAGTTATTAGCTCTTCTTCTGATATTTCTGTACAGGAAGTGAGTTCAGATAAAAAGGTTGCCAATAAATCCATGTATCTTATTGACTTGCCTCTGAGTGATTCACCTCCATTGGCTAGGAAACCCTCCAGGACTAGCAAGAAAAATAAGAGTTCTGATTTAACCAACAACAACAAATTGGATACTATGAGTGCACCTGGCAAAACATCCAACATATCTCAAAAGGGTAAGTGTCACATTACTCAAAAATAACGTCAGTCTTGATTATATTAACTAAATCAAGTGGGATGATGTAGAGTTGAGTGGGATGTGTGGTGATGATGTAGAGTTGAGTGGGATGTGTGGTGATGATGTAGAGTTGAGTGGGATGTGTGGGGATGATGTAGAGTTGAGTGGGATATGTGGGGATGATGTAGAGTTGAGTGGGATGTGTGGGGATGATGTAGAGTTGAGTGGGATGTGTGGGGATGATGTAGAGTTGAGTGGGATGTGTGGTGATGATGTAGAGTTGAGTGGGATGTGTGGGGATGATGTAGAGTTGAGTGGGATGTGTGGGGATGATGTAGAGTTGAGTGGGATGTGTGGTGATGATGTAGAGTTGAGTGGGATGTGTGGGGATGATGTAGAGTTGAGTGGGATGTGTGGTGATGATGTAGAGTTGAGTGGGATGTGTGGGGATGATGTAGAGTTGAGTGGGATGTGTGGGGATGATGTAGAGTTGAGTGGGATGTGTGGTGATGATGTAGAGTTGAGTGGGATGTGTGGGGATGATGTAGAGTTGAGTGGGATGTGTGGGGATGATGTAGAGTTGAGTGGAATGTGTGGTGATGATGTAGAGTTGAGTGTGATGTGTGGGGATGATGTAGAGTTGAGTGTGATGTGTGGTGATGATGTAGCTGTAGAGTTGAGTGGGATGTGTGGTGATGATGTAAAGTTGAGTGGGATGTGTGGGGATGATGTAGAGTTGAGTGGGATGTGTGGGGATGATGTAGAGTTGAGTGGGATGTGTGGTGATGATGTAGAGTTGAGTGGGATGTGTGGTGATGATGTAGAGTTGAGTGGGATGTGTGGTGATGATGTAGCTGTAGAGTTGAGTAGGATGTGTGGGGATGATGTAGAGTTGAGTGGGATGTGGGGGGATGATGTAGTGTAAAGTAATACTTCCACTCTCCAAAAATCACTCACAATTCTACAAAAACCTTTGCATCTTATATCCATATATGACATCCTAATAAAAACATTACTCAAGTTTTATGTAGCTTAGACACTGGAAATGAAGTACCACTCTGAATACTCTGAGGTCACTTAAAAAACAAGTTAATAAAAAGTCTAGTGACAATTTAAGCGCAATTTCCTTAATTAATTTTTTGTGACCGAACGAATCACCCGTAGATGTTTGCACCCCTTTTCGTTTCTCTCCACACGAGCAGAGCTAGTCCCCGCCCCCTCGCGAGATCTGCGCTAGTCTGGCCAATGGCAGCGCGTACCGCAGATTGCGTCCAGCTAAGCATCAAAGGGGAAAAAAGCCTATACGATGCTCAGTTTAAACAAGTAGACGTTACCTCTCACTAGCGACTGCCTCAGCCGGTGTGCTTGGTTTGGAACTTCACCGCTTCGCTTCTTCTAGTGGTGAGACGCGAAGGGAAGAGGGTGATAGAAATATTTGTATATTCTTAGTAATCTTAGCCAATACAAATTAGAAGAAATTAATTTTTTGTGACCGAACAAAAGAATATTTTTGAAAACTTTCTTCGGCAATATTGTTCTAAATTATGGCAGGAATCGATTGGTAAATGTTTCAAGTCGCTAAGTGGTCTGGTTGCCAAGATATGGGCCCAAAAACTGCATTTTTTCGAGGTTTTTTGGCTTTTCTGGGAAATCCAGGAAGGAATTCCGGAATTTTTTTGGCCTATGTTCATCCTCGGAACTTGCTTAACATATTTGCTTTTGGAACTAGTCCTCGATATTGCTTCGTTAAGGAGGAGATACGACTTAAAGCTGCGGACACACATCCATCCATCCATCCATCCAGAAATGACGAGTTAATAATCGCAATTGTCTGTATGGAAATTGCGCTAAAAATTGTAATTTAAGTACATTTATTAAGGGGGTAGGCTCCAGTAAAAAAATACTTTTTTAATACTCGTTAGGAAACAATTGTTGCTCTATAGCTGTTTTAAGGTACATCTGCATATGTGTTTCAAGGGAAAGTTAAAAAAAAGCTTTTCTCTTGACCAATGCGTTTCTAAGAAATTGTTTCTATGTTATATAATTATATATATATATGTTACGGTCAAAGCCTGAAGTCGGCTAAAGCACACATTGGCTAATATCGCCTTCCGAAACTTTACTTGATTTCGGCCTTTGGCTGGCCAATCCGCAGACTGGCCATGGTGGACCAAACAAAGTCCGAATTAGATGATCATGAGCAGATTTTGGTTTTTTTATACCATAAGGATCATGAAATTAAGTCTTAATTGATTATTAATAAAAGTAAATGACAGAAACATTCAAATTATTTTATTGTACTATAGTCTCAATCAATATTGACACTTGCTACAACAAATTGAACTTTTATGGCATTTAGAATTACATATTAACTTGTTATTTTTACACTTGCAGCGATTTGTTGTGCACTTGGTTGTACAATTGCAGCGAGTGTAGCCTTGGCCGCCGGTCAGTGATTGCGAAGATGCAATGTTTCGTTGTGATTTTTCCTCATTGCTAACTAACAACAATAAGAGCAGTTCTTTCGTGAAGAATTGAAAACTCACTTCTAGCATATAGTTGTTTTAGAACACCATGTTCCTTTCCTTGCTTGTAGAAAGCGCCCTCAACGCTTATGACAACTGCAATGACACTTCGGGGATCACCGCGACCTCTGTCAACACCTGCTTTACCAAGCTAGTATGAGCTGCTGACCTGTTGTCCATGATTTCTTATTTATTGTGACATAATCTGCAAGTAATGTTTCCTCCTTACCCTTTGTCTGCTTCATTGGTATGTCTGTCTCTTGGTCTGACAGCCCTTTTGGTCCATGTCGCATTGCATAGGAACAAGAGCCAAACAATATGTAACTCACAACGAAACAGCATCCAGAATAATAAAAAAACTCGATCACTATAGATTTTGAAACCATAAAGGTAAACATCGCACCTTACTGTGCTTTTCAGTGCACCGCAGTGTCTTATTATAATTAATAGAGTAGGGTTTGTTTATATAACGGCATAGACTATAGAGCTATTTTATAATTGCCACCGTTTTTACTTTTTTGCATAACGTAAAGAAAATATTAAATACGTGCACATTGCTATAACATATTAAAAAGATCAATGTCAAATATCATTTTCGTTTATATTCCTAGAAAAAATTGATACATTTTCATAAAAGTAGGTCGAAAAAACTAATTAATTCAACTTTTTTTTGTTGTAATTTTTGCAAGGGAGGTAATTTGAAAATATATTTAACTCTTCAATAATTTTTTTTTTATTACTATCGCATTGATTATTATATGTTAAGGTTCATAATTAAAAGATAAAAATGTTTAGATTATTTATATTATTTATTATTATTTTCTAATTAGTCTATGATTTCTCAAAATCACTATTTTTTTGCTTTTGTTTTTCGGTGTTATGAAAACAGATGTTGAAATTGGACTTTTTGAGAATAATGGAAAGGCTCTCTCTGTGCGCAGACGCCGGGGAAAACGTGTTTTTAATATTCAACTCACTCTCAATAATTTAAGTTAATTTTTTTTATTACTACCACATTGATTATTATATGTTATGGTTCATAAGTAAAATAGAAAAATGTTAAGATTATTTACATTATTTTCTAATTAGACTATGATCTCTCAAAATCACTATTTTTTGTTTTTCGGTGTTAACAGATGGTGAAAATTTAGAATTATAGTATAGAGAATGCTGGAAAGGCTCTCTCTGGGCGCGGACGCCTGGGAAAAGTGTGTTGTTCGGTGGTGATTCTATTGTTGTGGTTGGGTTGTGTTGTGGCTTTGTTTGTGTTTGTGTTATGTTTTTGTTTGTTTTGTTCTGTTCCAAATTTGGTTAATTTAAAAAAGATTTACCGTGGCGGAGCACGGGATGCAGCTAGTGTATATTTATAGTGCAATTGGTGTCACACCCTCTCATTTTGCCTAATGCAGACATGCCTACCGTCCCGCCAAAATCTGAACCGTCCCGCTTTTTCACCTAAAAAAAGTAATTTGTTCCGTCATTCCGATATTGACTCAGTTTGTTCCGGTTTTTTTTAAAAAATAAATAAAGAAAGAAAGGTAATAAAGTGAATTGAAAAAAAGGCAGGGAAAAGCAATTATCTCCCTTTGGCATACATTTCTGTTTCCTAGTTTACTTACAATATTTACAAGTATCATCTAATACTAGATCTAGCTAGTATATCTACTTCTACTAGATCTAGAATTGTAACTAGATCTACTAGTAGATACTGAAATAGTGAACACTGATCTATCTTGTAAGTTGTAACTTAACTAGTAACTACTATTATGAAGAACTTAGTAAAAAGCAACTATTACTTTTACTAGATAGATCAAGGCTCTTTGCTCTTGACTTATATATTACATATGATGAAGCCTTCAGAATTTGTTATTCATATTAATATAGCCTAGAACATAGCAAGGCATAAATAATCAAATCAATAATGTTATGTCAAAGCTATGGTTTTTATTGGGAGGGGGGGGGGGGGTATCCTCAGGTTACTGGTTAACTTTTTAAAAAAATGTAAGCTGACATTAATAAGCAGTATTTAAATGTAGCCTAGAGGCTAGTTATATATGACTAGAAGCCTACTAATGTCATTAGAGTAATTTTTAATTAATCATTTTTATTTTTGACTTAGTAAAGTATGTTCCTCTTTTTGGCTTCAAATTCTTCTTTTTAGGCATGACTGTTCCTACTTTTGGCTGACAGGGGTAGGCATGTTTGCTAATGGCGTTTATTTTTGTGAACATTATCCACCGATTTATTCAGGTGGAAAACCGCATCGTATTCATAGTAAATTAATTGATTTGGTGCCCCTCTTCGATCATATCAGTTATTAAAATACTCAACAAAACCTTTTTTACTCTTTTGTACATACAAAGTAAATTGGCTCCTTATCACCCCACACAATAGCTGATGTTTTGCCATTGAACATGTTATGAGTACCACGATCCATTTTCTTTGTCACAAGTTACTTTGGAAACTGTTAACGGTTTGTCAATGCTATACCACATAACCTTGTATATCCAACAAGTACTCTGCTAAATTGACAGATGTATAGAACCAATCTGTAAATATGCAGTGATTGTGTACTTGAAATGATTCACATCTTACGAAATGCCAACACTTTTCCCAAAATCTATTTTTAGAATCATAATCCCGCACTATAAAGACATATGCGCAGTTTTATTCAGTCCGCCGCTAATTATATTTAATAAGACAGTATACCAGCCCCTAGGACTATGACGCTAGATCATCGGGCCGGAAAAAAAACGGCTTTTCTGACATATATGCCTGATCTTGAAGCCGGTTTTCCGGCTTGTCGGGCTCAAAGGGTTAATAGTAATGATGTTTATCTATAGTGGGTTATAAATACAGCTTATGTAACGTTGCTTTCTTTAAGCAGGTTTACATTTTAAAAAAGGCTTTTTAATTAATAATTAATCTAGCAAAAAGCATTTTTCTTCAATATAATTTGCAATTTTTGCCTTGGTGTCAACACCCTCCCCCCTCCCCTAAATAGCGTCACCTAGTGCAGTTCGCACCCCCTGCCCCCTCTTCGTGAGTTGACTGGTGCTCTAATAGGCTCCAAGAAGGTGAAAAAGTGTGCATGCATGTTTTAAAAGATTGTGTTATAACATAAGTTGAAATTTGCCATGGAAATAGTTTTTGACTGCTTTAACTTCATTCATGAAAGACAAGTTATTCTTTTTAGAGGTGTTTAGTACTTTTAATAAATAGTGTCTGAAAGAGGTGCCGCCGTCCTGAAAAACTGCTTTTTTTTGTGGTGATAAAGAGAAGTAGAGTAAAAAAAATGCATAAAAAAAACATTTAAATGACCAGCTTTTCTGTATTAATGCACTAAAAAGGAGACAATAAATTATTTTCTTTAAACTTTTTAAATAACTATAAAGAAACAAGTTAATAAAAAGTCTAGTGACAATTTAAGCGCAATTTCCTTAATTAATTTTTTGTGACCGAACGAAAGGATATTTTTGAAAACTTTCTCCGGCAATATTGTTCTAAATTATGGCAGGAATCGATTGGTAAATGTTTCAAGTTGCTGAGTGGTCTGGTTGCCGAGATATGGGCCAAAAACTGCATTTTTCGAGGTTTTTTGGCTTTTCCGGGAAATCCAGGAAGGAATTCCGGGAATTTTTTTGGCCCACAATCATCCTCGGAACTTGCTTAGCATATTTGCTTTTGGAACTAGTCCTCGATATTGCTTCGTTGAGGAGGAGATACGACTTAAAGCTCCATCCATCCATCCATCCAGAAATAACGAATTAATAATCGCAATTGTCAGTATGGAAATTGCGCTAAAAAGGGTTAAGTATCTAGTGGATTAAATAGTGACCGACGCTTTTCTTTATAGTTGTTTAAATAGTTGTCTATAATATTATATTTAAAGGAAATCATTGATTTTCTTTTTAGTGCATTAATTCAATAAAAGGTTGTTATTAAAATGTTTTTTATGCTTTTTTTTTCAGTACTTCAAAATTTTTAATACATAGATTTCATGATTAAAAACTATTGCGCACCAAATGAACATAAAATGCACATATAAAAGATCGGAATAATAGTAGAACACCTTACTTTGCTTATTTAATTTGAATGAATTCATACAAAATTAATTGGGCATCCAATTAAGTCAAATTTTAATAATGTAAGATTGCTTTGTGATGCCAGGGTTGAAATGAATCAGTCAGTTAGAAGTACTTGAAATTTCATTAGGCAGTTTTGATCTATGACTACAGAAAGACTGAGGAAACAAGTTAAATAAAACCTTGTAATGACACTATTAATGGACAGCCACTCTCACATAGACCAACACTTTTACCAACAATAGTAAAGGGGTTAGCTTATGAGTGAGTTCATCTAGCCAAACTAATAACATGATATTTTTCAGGGAAACAAAAAACTAAATCTTCCACTCAGAGTAAACTATCTGGTGGAGAGAAAAGAAAATGTAAGTTCACAATTAAGCATTTTTATAATAAGTATGCACTTTTGATTATACTGTTTATACAACTTTATAGTTTATGATTTAGTATATTATTTGAGCTTTACCAAGAAATAGTTACAATGTTTTACAATGGTGAGGATTATAAAAAAAATCCTATTATGTTGTTGCTTTTGTCAAAGTTTTTCTGAATCAATGTGTAACTATGTAATGTGTTTTAAAGCTGAAGATGATTTGGACTTGTCAACCAGAAAGAAACACATTAGCACCCTGGCTAACACAGCAGCTGGTAGTAAAAAGGCAACTGAAAGCGGCCGGCTGTCAAGAAACAGTTCTACCTCTTCAGCCACATCAGAAATGTCAAAAAAAAAGAACAAAAGAGGTCCAAAGAAAGGTAGGGTGACAACCAACATTTGTGGTAGTGGTTGGTGTAGGTTTGTGCTAGTGGTTGGTGTAGGTTTGTGTCATGTGGTTGTGGTTGGTGTAGGTTTGTACTAGTGGTTGGTGTAGGTTTGTGTCATGTGGTTGGTGTAGGTTTGTGTCATGTGCTAGTGGTTGGTGTAGGTTTGTGTCATGTGGTAGTGGTTAATGTAGGTTTGTGGTAGTGATTGGTGTAGGTCAGGGGTCGGCAACCTTTTGAGACGGAATAGCCAAAAGTTACAATTTACAAAATTTCCCAGTTTTTAAAGAGCCACTTGCATTTTATTTCAATATTTGGTATTTGATTAGGTAAATAAATTTGATTTTTTGTTTAAAATAAATAGTTTTAAATATGAAATAATATTAATTCATACAAAAACATACACGTTACACCAGAATAATAAAATTCGTAATTAAATAATAAAACTACGGGACTATTCCAATCCACTTTAGAAGCTAACTTTTTTTTTTACTGACATCACCGGCTCAGGAGGTGTCTCCCATTAGCCAGGCAGGCCTCAACACGGCAAAGTCCGACTATCTGGCTTGGATATCGGTTTGAATAACTTAATCGTTCGCTTCTGTCCTTTGTTTCTCACCAGGCTTCCATCCGATTGAGCGCAGGTCGTACCCCACCGTCCACTCGTACCCCACCGTCCACTCGTACCCCACCGTCCACTCGTACCCCACCGTCCACTCGTACCCCACCGTCCACTCGTACCCCACCGTCCACTCGTACCCCACCGTCCACTCGTACCCCACCGTCCACTCGTACCCCACCGTCCACTCGTACCCCACCGTCCACTCGTACCCCACCGTCCACTCGTACCCCACCGTCCAGTAAAAACGGAATTATATATTTAATATTTGTGAAAGGAGCTGGAGAGCCGCACCTTAGTATCAAAAGGGCAGCATGCGGCTCGCCGACCCCTGGTGTAGGTTTGTGCCATGTGGTAGTTGTTGGTGTAGATGTTTGTAATGTGGTTGTGGTAGGTGTAGGTTTGTGCCATGTGGTAGTGGTTGGTGTAGATGTTTGTAATGTGGTTGTGGTAGGTGTAGGTTTGTGCCATGTGGTAGTGGTTGGTGTAGATGTTTGTAATGTGGTTGTGGTAGGTGTAGGTTTGTGCCATGTGGTAGTGGTTGATGTAGATGTTTGTAATGTGGTTGTGGTAGGTGTAGGTTTGTGCCATGTGGTAGTGGTTGGTGTAGATGTTTGTAATGTGGTTGTGGTAGGTGTAGGTTTGTGCCATGTGGTAGTGGTTGGTGTAGATGTTTGTAATGTGGTTGTGGTAGGTGTAGGTTTGTGCCATGTGGTAGTGGTTGGTGTAGATGTTTGTAATGTGGTTGTGGTAGGTGTAGGTTTGTGCCATGTGGTAGTGGTTGGTGTAGATGTTTGTAATGTGGTTGTGGTAGGTGTAGGTTTGTGCCATGTGGTAGTGGTTGGTGTAGATGTTTGTAATGTGGTTGTGGTAGGTGTAGGTTTGTGCCATGTGGTAGTGGTTGGTGTAGATGTTTGTAATGTGGTTGTGGTAGGTGTAGGTTTGTGCCATGTGGTAGTGGTTGGTGTAGATGTTTGTAATGTGGTTGTGGTAGGTGTAGGTTTGTGCCATGTGGTAGTGGTTGGTGTAGATGTTTGTAATGTGGTTGTGGTAGGTGTAGGTTTGTGCCATGTGGTAGTGGTTGGTGTAGATGTTTGTAATGTGGTTGTGGTAGGTGTAGTTTTGTGCCATGTGGTAGTTGTTGGTGTAGATGTTTGTAATGTGGTTGTGGTAGGTGTAGGTTTGTGCCATGTGGTAGTTGTTGGTGTAGATGTTTGTAATGTGGTTGTGGTAGGTGTAGGTTTGTGCCATGTGGTAGTGGTTGGTGTAGATGTTTGTAATGTGGTTGTGGTAGGTGTAGGTTTGTGCCATGTGGTAGTGGTTGGTGTAGATGTTTGTAATGTGGTTGTGGTAGGTGTAGGTTTGTGCCATGTGGTAGTGGTTGGTGTAGATGTTTGTAATGTGGTTGTGGTAGGTGTAGGTTTGTGCCATGTGGTAGTGGTTGGTGTAGATTTTTGTAATGTGGTTGTGGTAGGTGTAGGTTTGTGCCATGTGGTAGTGGTTGGTGTAGATGTTTGTAATGTGGTTGTGGTAGGTGTAGGTTTGTGCCATGTGGTAGTGGTTGGTGTAGATGTTTGTAATGTGGTTGTGGTAGGTGTAGGTTTGTGCCATGTGGTAGTGGTTGGTGTAGATGTTTGTAATGTGGTTGTGGTAGGTGTAGGTTTGTGCCATGTGGTAGTGGTTGGTGTAGATTTTTGTAATGTGGTTTTGGTAGGTGTAGGTTTGTGCCATGTGGTAGTGGTTGGTGTAGATGTTTGTAATGTGGTTGTGGTAGGTGTAGGTTTGTGCCATGTGGTAGTGGTTGGTGTAGATGTTTGTAATGTGGTTGTGGTAGGTGTAGGTTTGTGCCATGTGGTAGTGGTTGGTGTAGATGTTTGTAATGTGGTTGTGGTAGGTGTAGGTTTGTGCCATGTGGTAGTGGTTGGTGTAGATGTTTGTAATGTGGTTGTGGTAGGTGTAGGTTTGTGCCATGTGGTAGTGGTTGGTGTAGATTTTTGTAATGTGGTTTTGGTAGGTGTAGGTTTGTGCCATGTGGTAGTGGTTGGTGTAGATGTTTGTAATGTGGTTGTGGTAGGTGTAGGTTTGTGCCATGTGGTAGTGGTTGGTGTAGATGTTTGTAATGTGGTTTTGGTAGGTGTAGGTTTGTGCCATGTGGTAGTGGTTGGTGTAGATTTTTGTAATGTGGTTTTGGTAGGTGTAGGTTTGTGCCATGTGGTAGTGGTTGGTGTAGATGTTTGTAATGTGGTTGTGGTAGGTGTAGGTTTGTGCCATGTGGTAGTGGTTGGTGTAGATGTTTGTAATGTGGTTTTGGTAGGTGTAGGTTTGTGCCATGTGGTAGTGGTTGGTGTAGATGTTTGTAATGTGGTTGTGGTAGGTGTAGGTTTGTGCCATGTGGTAGTGGTTGGTGTAGATTTTTGTAATGTGGTTTTGGTAGGTGTAGGTTTGTGCCATGTGGTAGTGGTTGGTGTAGATGTTTGTAATGTGGTTTTGGTAGGTGTAGGTTTGTGCCATGTGGTTGATGTAGATTTGTTGTTGGTGTAGGTTTGTGCCATGTGGTAGTGGTTGGTGTAGATCAGTGGTTCCCAAACTTTTTTAAGTGGCGACCCCCCTTTTATAAAAAGTAAGTGACCCGCGACCCCCATAGAATTAAAAAGCCGAAATTAGTATGAAAATTAATAAGCACTAACATAAGATTTTAAGTAGACTTTCAATATGAATTACTCATGATAACTGTTTTAATACCATGAGTAAAATTGAAAAATTAAAAGTTTTTGTAAAAGCCAACCTTTGTCATTATCAACATTCAATTAATTGGAGAATAGTGTCGAAAATCTATTCTCGAAAAATCAATCAATTTTACGTTTGGATATGAATGGGGACACTGTCCTGTCTCTTGATTTTAAAGGCTTTGTTACCCACTATTTTTCATAATGAGTCAGAGATTGCAGGCCGGCATTAAAAATTTTTGTATTGAAGATGCTATAGACTAAACTTTTTAATGTCAGTTTGTAGCGACTATATAAGTTAGGGTAAATTCGGGTAATCAAAGTGACATCATTTATTTACTTTTACTCAACTCTACCCTACACGTTTTCATAACTAACCACATCTCCCCCTTTTGTGGTCATGCTGACCGTTAGCCCTAAATATCTAAATTATACCGTGGTTATTTTGAGTTTTTTTACTTGAAAAAAAAATGACTAGAGCTACAACATCTTAGGCTTTGACACAAATTAAAGATTTCAAAATGTTTGAAAATGCTTAAAAATGAACTTGAAATACCATAAATTATTATAGAAAATTGCCGTTTTTTATATATTTTAAAAAATTATTTTCAAATGTATTTTGTTGTTTAAATCAACATGTGGACTCCACATTGACATGACATCATCCCCCCCAGTCCACAGAAGTCCATTTTTTCAGACCCCCCTCCCCTCGTGGATGTCACAAATGTATGACCCCCTGTCACATGGTCTTTCAGATTTTAATAACTTCAGTTCTAAGAAACTGTTTTTCTTGGCATTTAATAACTTCAGTTCTAAGAAACTGTTTTTCTTGGCAGCTACACATATGGTTTTAATATTCTATGGACAGTTGACAAAATTGACAACAGTTTGTCAATTAATATTCTATGGACAGTTGACAAAATTGACAACAGTTTGTCAATTAATATTCTATGGACAGTTGACAAAATTGACAACAGTTTGTCAATTAATATTCTATGGACAGTTGACAAAATTGACAACAGTTTGTCAATTAATATTCTATGGACAGTTGACAAAATTGACAACAGTTTGTCAATTAATATTCTATGGACAGTTGACAAAATTGACAACAGTTTGTCAATTAGTTTTAAGGGACAGTTGACAAAATTGACAAGAGTTTGTCAATTTGTTTTAAGGGAAGTCAGATCTGGTGAAGAAAAGGAAAAAAGCTGAGAGTACATCTGATGATGACAGCTTGTTTGATGATGAGAGAGATGAAGACTGGGACCTGCCTGATGGAGTACAATATTATGATAACTTATGCAGTGCTAAAAAGTGCTTAAATCCAACAGGGACTAAAGTTGATTGGGTGAGTTTTTTCCTACATATGTTTACATCCAATAACAATGATACTGGGACTATCTAAACTTGCAATTATTATTTACACTGTGACAATTTTTTTACCAGTTTTTACCCACAACCTTATTCATAACTAAACACATAATGACAATTATAAGTATGTAATTGTAATGTGTTAACAATTATTAGTTTAAATAAACAGATGTCCCCACTGAACTCACCTCACTTAATTGTCAAATGTTAAATATGTGCCTAAAATTGTGTAACCTTTTTGCATGGGACTCAGTATTTGAGCCCAGTTCTCCCTGTTTTACTTAGTGAGTTCCTAAAGAGACCATTGGTTTCAGGTGATGTGTGACAACTGTGAACAGTGGTACCATGTGGAATGTGTTGACTGCTCCATTGAGGTCATACAAAAGGAAAATGTCCAGTTTCACTGTGGCCTTTGTTGAGATATTATCCAAATAGTGTCAGGAATTTCCTGCCATTTGAATTGAGTCATGGGAGGGATGTAATGTTTGATATTTGTGTTAACTTTTTATAACCCACCCCTGGTAGTTGAGAGGGAAGTGAATAGTAACCCCACAGAACATTCAACTTAGGTCACTGGGCATCATCTTTGGACAACTTGAATCAAAAATGTATTTTTGTATTCATTTTAATTATTATTATGAAAATAACATTAACTGGGTTTGTTCAATAGAATAGAAAAATTACCAGCACTTAAATCTTTAAATATCTATTGCCATTGTCACATTCATTTTGAATAATAAAGACAGTTTGGTTCTGTGTTGAAGCTTAATACGTCCCAGTTTAGTTCAACTCAGAAAACAATTCATGACAATCTCCAGTATTTTTATTTGGTCTCAACTCTTCACATTACAGAGTAGCCCTCACCCTGACTGCTACCAACTAACCCCTTACAACCATTCACTCCAGCTTTAATACCGCATTCGACCTTGGGCATTCGACCTTGGGATAACAATACATAAACACTCCAGGGTTAACAATACTCTAGGGTAAACTCAACTCACACACTTTCTCTCCCCTAGTTCTAGATTATTCTAGCCTATTTCTATCTAACCTACAACTGACCTGTAACAAAGCAGACAATCAGGTTCTGTGTTGAGGTTGTCCTCTAACAATCAGAACATGCTGCTATCACCCCACAGATTAAATATTGCATGTGATTCAATAAGCTCATGACTATATCTTGTGATATTTTCTTTTCTGTGGCTTCACGTGTATGTATGATGAGTGAATGTCTGCCCTACACATGTTTCTACGTATGTTAGTGAAACTCTGCCCTAAGTATGATTAATGAATGTCTGCCCTTCTTATGATGAATTACTGATGAATCAATACTGAGACTTGATATTGTGCAAAGTGTGTGTTGAGACAGCTTTTTTCATTTTGTTATTATTTAATTAAAATGTCTGTTGTTTTATTTACATAATTGTTCATACATTTTTAAATTGATTGTAATGAATTGCTAAATAAATATGTGAATCTCTTTGTGTTGCTGTAAATTACATATTTAACCAACTTGTTACAAATATCTTGAAGCCTATATTGTTATAGTTGTGCTATAATACTTACTTAACCACAGTGTTTCTTCCACTTTTTTCTCGGATGGGGGGGGGGGGGGGTGACACTGTTTTAAAGTATATATTTTCTATGTAAATTCCATTTCGTTCGCCCCCCCCCCCCCCCCACTACATAACCATTAATGACCCATTTCGTTCGCCCCCCCCCCCACTACATAAACATTAATGACCCATTTCATTCGCCCCCCCCCCCCCCCCCCCCACTACATAACCATTAATGACCCATTCATTCTACTAAAACACCACCCTTGACGTCTCAATGTAAGAACCATAACTCTGTATGTATACACAAAATTTGCGTTTTTGTCTAAGTGAAATTAATAATTATGTTTAAGATAAAATTACAATATTACTATTAATTAAATCTGGCTTTCCAACAGTATTGAATAGAATATATTCGCTAGAAGTACAGTATAAAAATTTAAAAATGTAAGAGAAAATCCTAAATAGGTTATTTTTGGTAGTCATCTTTGTTATTGTCTTAACAACTGCATCGAATTTAATAGTTAAATATCAATTTGGTTATGTTTAAGATATATAATTCGTAGAATACACGCTCAGACACGTTTTTCGGCGTGATTTTATTTTTAATTTCAAACTATCCAACTGCCTGTTAATTTAAAAATTGGGAATTGCATGCCAAATTTTAATGAAAATTAATTTTTCTATGCATTATGGGTCATTAATGGTTAATAAGACTAGTAATCTATATTATTATTTAACCATTGGCGTAGCCAGGATCGTCTCATGGGGGGGGTCAAATTTTTGCCATCATATTTATAGACTACTTTTGCTATTTTTTGCCTTGGTGTGACCCCCCCTAAATGGTGTCACCCGGTGCGGTTCGCACCCCCCCCCCCTCACTACGCCTCTAGGCAGGGGTCGGTTATACCTGCGGCTCTTCTGTTCCATGCACAATATTAATAATTATTTTATTTTTAAAACTCATACAATATATTGTAGATCTACTGTAAAGAAAAACATTAAACAGGATAAAATCACTCAGTAAGAATTGGTGGAGTAGAGAGTATACGGGCAGCTGACAGCCGCTTGGGCACCCGGCCCTGCCCTACGGTAATCAAATCGATACCCAAGTCAGTTAGTCGGAGTTTTAAAATAGAATAAAATCTCGCAAAAAACTGCACACCAAGTGAACGCCAAATAAAATGTGCATAATAGTGCGGAATACTATTAGTATTTTATACATTCACATGCGTTTTTTGAGAAATCGGAAATAGCGTTAATAATTACTACTTTACAGTTGTAAAAAGATTCATGAGGCTCAAAACGCTTTCTAAAACAACATTTGAACGGTTGTTGTTTATTTTTAACATTGTTATTAATCCGAGAAATAATTTAAAACTCTACTACTCTGCACATCCAAAGTTCCTGTACTAGTAGTAGGCTACTACCCTTGAAAAATGTCATCCATAATTTAGTTTCTACACATTGAGTCTCCCACAAACTGAACTGTTTCTTTCAGATATTTTGCTCCGTTGGAGGGGTCACTGGTTAAATATATATTTTCTATGTAAATTATGTATTTCTCTATTTTGTTCGGAGAAGGGTTGACGTCCGGTCCGCCCCCCCCCCCCCCCCCCCCCTTTTCAACGGAATTCATGTCTCAAATACATAAATGCATAGTCATATGCAGTATTATGTATAGAGAGTCTTACAACATACGAAACTCAAAACTGTCTTGAAATTTCTTTGCACTGTTTCACTATTCATCTTTATAAATACAGATCTATTGTTTGCAACCCCAATCCTTCCTGGAAAATGAATACCAAACAGACCGCGTGACGTAGATGCGAACACCCTAGCGAACCATAAAAAGATCTTTACCTACGGTACGTGACAAGGGAAATCACTCTACGCTCATAATTAAAACAAAACAAGGCGTTTCACTTGTCTAAGTTTACGTGCTTTTGTAAAGAATGTTCGATTCCCACTTTGTATCGTTCCGAGAATATGGCGCAAAAAAATTTGTTAGCAAATTTCCAAAGACTTTTTTATTTGAACCGAACAAAAATGTCATGTTTAATGGTTAGTATAAATTTGGCCTCTTCAGTTTGTTAGTGTACTCATGTCACCTGTGGTTAGGCCTCGATTTTCTACTTTCTTGCTGAGGAAGATGATTTATTTTTTGCTTCTTATATTGTGCGGACTTTGTTTACAGGGTGAGTTCTAAAATGCGCAAACAAAATTTTTAACAGTAGGCCTAATATAGTATACTTAGCCATTGATCTTGGTTTATTATTCAGTTATCTATAATATTTGACACAAATAGAATCTAGATTCTAGATCACAATATATTATACTTCTAATAAAGCCTTAACTGCCCTTAACAAAGGGACAACTTTTTCGCGCATTACTAGATTTTTTCTAGTATTAATACTAGCCTCGGCCGATTTTACGGACCTAAAACGATAGATTACCATAATAATATATAATATATATATATATATATATATATATATATATATATATATATATATATATATATATAAACATGTTTTAAGAGTTACAAAAATAATTCATGCACCTGTTACCGTTTTTAAACAATTTTATTACAACTTTTCAATAAGAAGTAAAAAACAAGTTAATAAAAAGTCTAGTGACAATTTAAGCGCAATTTCCTTACTTAATTTTTTTTTAAATGTGAAAAAATGATTAGGCCTAGCGAAACAAAACCTTGTAATTGTAACTCCCTATCACTCTCATATAAATTATAAATAAATTAATAGGGTACAAAAATAACGTTTGAATTAATAAGTAAAAAAAAAAGACAACTATATTAACCTATATCAACGGAAATAGTTTTATTTTAACAAGTAGGCCTACAAGATGCTCAGTTTAAAATATCATCCTAGGCCTACACGATGCTCAGTTTAAATAATTTTTTTTAAAAATTTGTGACCGAACGAAAGGATATTTTTGAAAACTTTCTTCGGCAATATTGTTCTAAATTATGGCAGGAATCGATTGGTAAATGTTTCAAGTCGCTAAGTGGTCTGGTTGCCGAGATATGGAGCAAAAACTGCATTTGTTCGAGGTTTTTTGGCTTTTCCGGGAAATCCAGGAAGGAATTCCAGGAATTTTTTTGGCCCACAATCATCCTTGGAACTTGCTTAACATATTTGCTTTTGGAACTAGTCCTCGCTTTGTTGAGGAGGAGATACCACTTAAAGCTGCGGACACATATCCATCCATTCATTCATACGTCCATTCATCCATCCAGAAATGACGAGTTAATAATCACAATTGTCCGTATGGAAATTGCGCTAATTAACATTTTTTCACCAGATGCAACCACACTCATTCGCATCAATCTTAAGTTGTTTTTTTTTTTGGTAAAATTATTGTTAGAGATTCGGGGGGGGAGAAACCACTGTAATTTACAGTTGGCTGCTGTTCATATACTATTATAGAACATCTTGCTCTCAAACACTGCTGTATAAAGTTGATTTCTGGCCTATATTGATATATTTAGATATTGCATTTTGTTTATTATTCAATTATGTATTATATTTGACACAGATTTATCACAATATACTTGTATTAAGGCAGGCCATATTAATTAAGTCACCTTTTATCAGATTTCTCACCTCAGCCAATTTTAAAGTACCTAAAACTACCAATTACCTTTTTTTAACATTAATCCTGTTATTAGAAATAATATATGCAGATCAGGAAGAAGTTTTCTTTTTAAAGTTGCTGAATGTTTCAGATCTAATGAAATGTGTGGAAAATTTACTTTTCTTTTTTTTTTATTAACCTAGGTTTACTACAGAAATTAAAATAAGATGTTTAATGTAATTAGATTTGGTGCAAGTACTATAAATATAGTGTGGTGGTTCTTAACCAGGGTTCGATCGAACCCCAGGGGTTTGGTGAAAGTGAATCAGTCTCAGGGGTTTGGCATAGGTCAAGACACACACCAGACTCACAGATTTTTTTAGTTCGAGTGATAGAACTATTAAGAAGGGTTCAGGTGAATGCACATATGAAACCAGTTAAAAAGGTTAAAAACCACTGGTCTAGTGTATACTGTGCAAAGTTTTATCGGATTGCTAAAACTAAGTAAAGTTGTTTAACTTGTTTTTCTGATTGCCATGACACTTTGTTTTACTCCTTTAGTAATTTTTTTTTAGTCCATGCTCTCTAGTGTGGCCCAGTATTTGAGTTCTGCGTTATGTTATTAATTTTAAAATTTATTTTTATTTTGTTTAAAATTACCTATTTATATTAAGTTTACTGTTGTTTGATTTGACCATTATTCTCATTATCACCAGCACTCACAAAAAACCATAACATCCTTCCTCCTTTATGCATTTGATGCCATGATTAATGGACAACCACTTCTGCTAATAACTAATATTACATTTTTAGAGCAGAACTATGCTCTGCTACTTTTTGTATTTTTACCTTGATATATATGCCCAGCCACTATTGCTGTAATTTGAGTGTATGCCTGTATCAGTTGCTGGTCAGGACAGCACATATGACTGCCAAGTGAGCCAAGGGAGAGAAGTGAATGCAGCTGATGAGAACTGTGCGAGTTACTATGAGTGCACGGACTATGTGGGGGAGCTGAGGCGTTGCAGGAGAGGCCAGCGATTTGACACTAGTGATCAGGTAACTTTATTTATCCAGTTCAATTTGTTGATCAGGTAACTATATTTATCCAGTTCAATATGTTGATCAGGTAACTTTATTTATCCAGTTCAATATGTTGATCAGGTAACTTTATTTATCCAGTTCAATATGTTGATCAGGTAACTTTATTTATCCAGTTCAATATGTTGATCAGGTAACTTTATTTACAATATCCAGTTCAATATGTTGATCAGGTAACTTTATTTACAATAGAAAAAAATGCAAATGTTGAAGGTGAGGTGAATATCTTCCTGAGCACTTGCTGTTGACTGGCTATTGTGATTTCATCTAGGTTTGCAAGCCGAGCTCAGAAGTGAGATGTAATCGACAGAGAAGTGGCTCAAGGCGAACAACCAGCAAGCCTTTGGAGACAACCACCACGCCTCTACCAACCAGCACAACAACCGAAGCTGCACCCCGTAGTAAAAGGCCAGGTTTGGTCAGCCTTCTGGGTGCTTTGTTGCCACAGTTTGGAGGGGGTGTTGGGGGTGCTGGAATTCTGGGTCTAAATGGTAATGCAGCTCTGGCACCAGTACCCTTCAATGATGGGGGATATCAGCCAGTTAACCAAGGTCCAGCATTTTTTAATGCTGCTCCTAACTTTGGAAATACAGGCGCCTTCAATGGGTTTCCACAGCAAACAAATTTTTTTCCATATCCTAACACTAACCAGTTTGGATTCAGCGGAGCTTTTGGAAATCCTCAACCTCAATTTTCTAACAATGGTTTTGGAACCCCTCCATTTTCTAACAATGGTTTTGGAACCCCTCAATTTTCTAACAATGGTTTTGGAACCCCTCAATTTTCTAACAATGGTTTTGGAACCCCTCAATTTTCTAACAATGGTTTTGGAACCCCTCAATTTTCTAACAATGGTTTTGGAAACCAAGCCTCAGTTGAGGTAGAAAACCCTGTCCAGCCTATTGTGGTGCACCTTCAGCCCTACCCACCCCAGGTACAAACACCTGCCACACCAAACCCTGGACAACAAAATGTTCTCACAGATCTCTCAGGTGGGGGCCACAAAGTTCCTGACCAAGTTTACCAGCCATCCAACCACAGCCCAGCTGAATTTTTCCCTGCAATAAAACAAGTTGGTAACTTACAAGCAAGCCCTAAAGCCAGTGGCACAGTTCTCCCGGCTGATTCAAGCAGAAACAAAAGAGAAGCGCTCAGAGAGCATCTCATGCGCTCCCTCAAAGCTATGCCAAGCTCTGACAAGAATAAACCTAATGAGCAATCAGACACACAGCTAGACAGAAAAGCAAGTGAATCCATTCATTCATTGCCAGACCTGTTTAGGCAAGCTATAGGGATGTTTCCCAGCTTGGAATCTTTAGCCCAGACTTTAGACATAAACTTTGATGCTGTCAAACTAGCCAAACATGTCATTTCTCAATTCTACACAGTACGGCATGGTTTATCAGATTTCATATCTGATAAGGATGTGTCATATGTACAGAAACTAGCCGATGAAATCAGACGAATTGAAGGCTCCCTCTCTGAGAAACAAGACTTGGACCTTGTTTTAGAAAAACCATCTAGCAGAAGAGAGCCTGGATCTAAGAGCCTACAGCCACCTCACAAGCTGGGTCAACTCAAGCCCAAAATTTATGACCACATTTCTTCAGGCAACACAGCACCCCATGAGGACTCCACAACATTCTCTGCCTATTTTCCTCAATCAGCAGTCAATCAACACAACAGCCCGCCTTCCAAAGTTTCTCACATGCCAGCACAGAGAGACTCGCGGTACAGACCAACCAAGTACAGGCCTAGAATTGACCAGCTCCCTCCCCAACAATTGGAGCAGCCAAGGTACTACCTGCCAGCCACTGGTCAGTTTTCAAGTCAATACCAACCCAAGTATTATAAGCAACACACCAAACACATGCCTGCCCTCCCAAGTGTGCATCAAGGTCATACACACACATGGAACACACCTGTAGACAACAGACACCATTCTAAATTTAGCTCAAGAACCTACAATTCTAAAGGCTATCCTCGTATGAGAACACAACTTCAGCCAACATATGAACCTCTACCCAGTACTAATGATGCCTCAGTTCTCCCAAGATATTACACTTCTCCACGTGCTGACCTGTTAGAAACTCCTCTTATGGACAATAATGGACTGTCCAGTATCAACCTCTCAGAGTCAAACCCAAAACAAACCTTGAAGCAGTTAATGCATTATCCACCCAGCCGTGGCCATTATAAGAAACTTGATCAAGAGCCACAGAACAAGCTGCACACCAATTCTTCAAGTTCTGCAGATGACAATATCAGACTCACATTGCAAAGTCAAGTGACATTACAGCTTAAAAATCTAAAAATGCCAATAATTTTAAATACTGATGGTCGTCGGATTGATTTTGCAATGAACGGAAATGAAAATAAGCCATAAATTGTTACATACTTTAAGTCAAGTGATACGCTGTAATAATTCACCTTCAGACAAAAATAAACAAGCAGCTACTACAATTTTCAATGGTAACAAAACCTTTTAGACTTCATGTTTTTATTAACTCTGTACTTCAATTAGAAACACAAAATGAGCCCAAGAAAGAGGAGAAAAGAATGATGGTAGATGGTTTCATTTGCTGAATCATACATGGGAGTAAGAATTAAGTGACCTAAGCTAATGTTCCCCATTTATTCTTCTCTTTATTAGGCTTTAATCTTTCATTCACTTTCAAAACATAAAGTTTATATTCATTTGGGAAAAAAATCAATCCAATAGTCCAAACCAATAAGTAAAAAAAAAAACAAAAATTCAGGAGAAATGAAAATCCATACAGTCCAATTATTGGTCAATTTAAAAATAATTACAGAATCTCTATCCTTAAACACAAATAATTAAAAAATGAAGTAACTATTAAGAGTTGAAACACACTTTTTTAAAATATTGGGATTCTGGCTTCATCTTGTATAGTAAACCCATACTACAGTATTTGATTTCTGATAAGCTGAGCAAACACTTAAGTGGCTGTTTCAAGCTTGAGTAGCAAATGAAGTCAAAAAAAAAAAAAAAACCACCATACAACAGTAGTTACAGATTGTTTCAGGACAAAACTGATATACTGTAGTCATGCATCAATCTACTCTAATATTTACTAGAACAGGCAGACACCGTGCACTAAAAACATTGGATGAGAGAACAAAATTAGCAGCCTTATATCAGAGATGTGTATCCATACATTAACCAAAGAATTCATCCATCTAATCACATATTGTAATTAAAATAGGAATCCCTGCCATGGTCATCCATCTAATGGACTGCTCTTGGGAGGCCTCCATGCACACACTGCAGGTTTTACTCACATAGATGACCAATATGATATAGGAAAAATTTTTTAGCAGAAGGACCAAAACAAAAAGAGCTTTCCACCTTTCACACTTAAGTTATTTACATAAGTTCAATTGTTCATCTGATCAAGTCATCCATTTGTTCCCCAATACAGTCACTATGGACGTTCGGATACACATGTATCGACTCCACTATATACATATAGATCATTCTGTTTTACAGAGTTGAATATTGAACGTACAAAGTGCTAACCAATCAATATACACTTACACAGATATGCAAGCCAGATAGTAATCTGAGATTAAAAAATCAGTTTAAACCAGATAGCAATTTTTTGGATTTGACATTTTGTGCTATTTTTTTCAGTCTATCAAATAACTTGTCTCATTTCCTTAAAAAAACTTAACACCTTTAAGTTATATGAGTTTTAATTATACAAAAATTCACACAATCTCCACTGCAAGCAACATAACCAATCCAATTGTACATAATAGAAAATTGGTACTTACATAACTAATACATCGGCAACCCTTTAGAAAAATTGGCTGTTTTTTTTTAATTAAAAAAAAACTATCACAAACCAGTAGTTAAAAAAAGAAAGTTAAAATATATAGAGAAAGAAGGGTACAAATATATATAACGGTAATGTTCTGTCAGCTGTGACATCCTCAAATTACAGATAATTTATACTAGTTATTTCTTTTAAGTTACAGGTTACCTGTTGTTTCCTTGTTTAAAAAAAAAAGCTAAGCTTTCTCTCATACATCACAAGACTATTTACAACTCCTGAAGCATATCTGGGTAGAGCCCATTCATGAGATAACCACACAAGTCTGTGGATCACACACCTCTAGCCAGCCATGTGTACAGCACCAGGACATCCAATAACTTAACACACCAACAATAAGCCTGCTGCAACAGGGGGATGGATGTACAAATGATATTCACTTTGAGAACCTTCAAATGATCATCTTTAAAAAAAACACAGTTTCTTCTAGCACCTCCAGCTCTAGAAAACGTACGCATTCTTATACTCATTTTACATGCCACCAAAAGGTGGCAGCTTTAGTATATGCACTAAAACGTACATTTTTATACAAGAAGCAATCTGCTTCTGGTTGTGTTGGTAATGATAACAGTCAAAACTTTCCAACTCACTAAATCATTTAGCTCCCATGTTCCATATACAATGTTAACCACACCTGCATCAAACTATGTATGAGAAAGTAACAATTTGTTGTTAGAAATGGTCTCCCTGACTAAAATCAGAATAGTTTTTTACAACAGTAATCAAAATTAAAACAAATCATTTCTAGTATGTGAAAACGTTACCAGAGCAGTGATTCAACATATTCTTACTGCTGTTAATTTCACAAACTTGACTGAAAAAATTTCTCTTATCACTATAGCTTCAAGACAGACTGAAAAAGACAACACTCACACAAACATTTGAAACACTGCTTAGACAACATTGATAAAAAAAAATATTTCCATTCAATAAAAGTATTTCATTCTGTGAATTCACTTAGTTCCACAAACAAACATACATGCCAGCAGGTAGATCTCATCCACACTTGTATCACTGTCTAGTAGATCAATTCCAGCCTGAGCCTGCTTTAGCTGGCATAGAACCCCAGCTGGGTACCTGACTGGTGGCTACAGTATGTGGAGCTGGTGGCATCTCAGCAGTCTGGCTACCCCAACCTAAAAAACTGTTGTTGCCACCACCAGCACCAGTAACTACAGCACCATTAGAGGTGCCCATTGGGGCTGGGGCATATGATGTACTCATGCTATGAGGAGCAGCAGTGGTAGTGGCCACAACTATGGGGTCCCCGTTGGTGGTTGCACCTCCACTTTGATGAGTAAGGCCTAATGGTCCCCATCCTGTCTGACTGCTCAGGACAGCCTGGGCCGCAGCCAGCATAGCATGATTGAGCTGAGAAATAAGACCAAACCAAAGGCTTAACAAAAAATGGGAGAAGTTTCATGTGGAATCACACAGAACATTAGCTTCTGCTGTCCTCATGTTCAGACACATAGTAGCCACTGCTTATTGCAATCATCAACATTTATGATGCAGATAACTGAAAATATTGGAAGTATTATTCAATTCTTTAGGTCATTAGAAGAATTGGTAATCACAAATAACAGTGACTTCTCTGTTTCAGTAGTGTATTTCTTTGTGTATATATATGTATACATATATGCACAAACATGTACACATAAAGACATGAGGGCAGTAAAAGCCCACCAGAATAGGTTTTGTTGTGAAGAGAAATTTGATAATCCGTTTTGCTATGGCCATATGAATAAAGGTATATCTGTGCAGAGTGAATTATTTTATTTTTGTTAACACATTACTGTCCAGGTGCCAAATTATTTTCTTGCCATAGTCATAGGGCAATGCAAAGGAACAAATTTAATTTTTTTTTAAATTAATTCAGACAAAAATGGATGCAGTTTTTTGTACATTAGTTTTTACTACAGTGCTAGAAACATTTGATTTAAAAAAAACAACAAGGACAGCAGAGGGTTAAGCTAAATGCAATAAGATATATTTTATTAAATGTATACTCCATTTTACTTACATTTTTTATATGTATCTTTTTTTCTTTGATTAAATTTATCTTTTTTAAATTGTGAAATTTAAAAAAAAAGCCATAAAATGGAGAAGTGTGAAATGTATTGTGGCATAGGAGTTATAGGTTAAAGTAGAGTTAATGTTTAATTTTTAAACTGCTATTGCATTTTGGTAATGCAATGTACTGATGTCAAAAAAAAAAAGTTAACTTAACACATAAAAATCCAAGTAAACTATCTTTGAGAAGTACACAACATATCTCAAAATACTCAGAAACTACAGGACCTAATGGTTACTATTGTTAATTCTCCCAAAGTTAGGGAAATAAAAGCCAGGAAAAGCCTTCACATTACCATATTCTCAAAAAATCAAAACACTCGATAAGCTCTGGAATAATTGACTGGCAAATTCTTTCATAACATAAAAAAAAGAAGTTGTGTGGAGCAAAACAACGACTCACCTGCAAAGCACCAAGTCCTAAATTGCCTATGCTCATATTGTTGCCTAGGCCCCCAGCAACTCCCATGTTACTACTTGTATGACTTGGGTTTCCTCCCCTCCCTGGTCCCCAGGAACCCTGATAAGCAACATGGCCATGATTGGGTACCATTCGTCTGTCATATCTGGAACAACAAACATAATTCAGCTCACAAGAACAAATGTTAAACCATCTTTAGTCATCAAAAACTGTTAATGAAGTTTTAAAAGTTTCAAACTGAAGTTTCCTATGTTGAATTTGATCCTATAAATTAGGAATTGATATCTGTACAAATGGATGGGGTACACAAACACACACTAGCAGCCTAAGAGAGGTGGGGAAGGGGGAGAGAAAGAGAGAGAAGACGAGGGGGAAGGGAAAGAAATTTTTTCTATATATAAAAAATGTCTGTGTCTTTCTGTGGATCTTTTATGTGTCACTCTACAGTTCACTATACAGAGTGAAACTTTAAACAGTAGTTAAGAATAATCCTGGGAAGGTTTCTGCCACAGAGTTAACCCTCTCAGTTGCATTATGGCTTTCCAGTTCTTATGCCTCAGTTGCGTTATGGCAGAAACTGACGGTAAACATGCCATTTTCAACTTCTAACTCAGTTTTTAAAGAATCCATTAATAAACAGGACAATATACTACTTTCAATTAGTATAAAAAGTTTTTTTTTTTTTAATGTGAAGTCATATAGCATTCGCTTTTCTTGTCACTGATGTTGAAAGATATTGCCAATAAATTATAAATTTGGTTGTGAACTAGAAATTATTTGTATAGTATTTTGATTAAAATATTGTCATTTCTCTGCAATTATCAGTTGTTTTTGTTATGGTATGAGAAAAGATTAATTTTAATGAAGTTTTAAATTCAGTGAGTTACAAAGCTAACACAGTTTATTCCTTTTATTTGGCACTGAAAGCAAGTTATTAGCTGCTAAAGGTACTGAGATGGTTAAGTATCGGCTTTGGTGGGGGGGGGGGGGGGGGGGGGGGGCCTTACTGTTCCCCAAAATATTCTGAATTAAAAGGAATTAACCAATCTAAGATTACTTTACAAAAAAATGTTAATTTGGTTGTTTCCCTCAATCCATAAAGGTTGGAGTCACGTTGAGTTCAGTTTTTTTTAAATCTGTAGGCCTATAGGCTAGCATAATTATTGCAGGATCTACTATTTGAGATCACCTGAGACGTAATTTTTATTTTTCCCCACAAGCTGTACCAAAGATGTACTTGGGGTCATGGTGAGGTCACAAGAGCCACAGTTGCTACAAGTAGAGTCGGGTTAGTCTATTCCTCAGTCACCATTTGCAAGGATTTCAATATGAATTTGAGATTGCGAAATCGAATAGAATCAAAGAGAAACTGTAGATTCAGGTGGGTTAAAATACCGATGGATAAATTAGGCTGTATCAAAAAATTAGCATTCTGAAAAATTCGTAAATCTGTTATAATTCAGAATCTTGACCTACATTTAATCTTAATCTAGCACCATCAGACCTAGCAGAAATCGTCCAATTGAAAAGAAATGTGCATATTCAAGTGTCTGCCTAAGTAGTGTAATTCTCGATTTTTAAATACAAATGTGGAATGTACATGTTGGTCATTTCCGTAAAGGTCATTTCCATTTTTTTCTCCTAATTTTTAAAACTTCGTTAAAAAATCGACAAAAATTGAAAATCAGCAGAAAAAATTAGCAAAAATAAAATCAGCTGAGGAAAATTGCAGCTGAAAAGGAAAAATCTGATTTGCGCTAAAATTCAGATAAGTCGCATTCCTTTTATGTTAACTGAAAGATAGGGGTCTGTTAATTTGAACAGGAGATAGTTAAAGGGGCAGTCCATTCATAGCATCATATTCTTGGAAGTGATGCGGTCAGTTTACAGACGTGTGGCGAGAGAAAATAGACGAGGAAATTAGTGTCTGAAGGTTGACAATAACAACCTGTTAATTACTACCGCTCATTCCCCCCCCCCCCCCCGTAAACATCCCTGCCTATCAGGACATCACACCCAATCAATTACTCGCTCATCATCTTGAGAGAGAGACCCGGGTGGGGGTAGCTCAAGGATATGTTAGGAATAGGTTAGGTACATGTATAGAAATAGGTGTTGGTGCTTAAGTTAATATTTCTGGATGAGGTTTTGGTGAGGGTTGATTTATGCTAATGCTCATGTTTAAGAATTTTGTGTCTTTGTGTTTGTTTTGAGGTTGTAGTGAAAGTTAGGGTTTATGTTTGAGTTCTAGGCGTAGAAGTGCGGGGAGGGAAGAGTATTTATGTTTTTCGGTTGAGGTGGGGATTAGTTTCTGTTTTTGTTAATGTTCATGGTTGAGGGTTAGGGTTTATGTTTTTTGTATTTTATATTTGTTTTGTTCTTTTGTGTTGGAACTTATTGAAATTTCATATATAAGTATTATATCAAATTTGTAGTTCAATTTGCAGTTCAATTTGTAGCAATTTCCGGTAACCGGAACTTATTCTACTTTCAATTTTTCAAAAAATCTATAGCCTGAGTACTATTTCAGATAGATCAAAGTAATTTCATGTAAGTAAAATTTTATTTCTGTTTACTGGAAGTAGTAATTTACGCTATTTCCCATTTCTCAGCAATAAAAAATGTAAATTTACAAAGTACTAATAATATTCCGCACTATTATACACATATTGTTTGGAGTTTACTTGGTGCCCCATTCTTTTTTTCTACGAGATTTTATTCTATTTTAAAAAGTTTAAGTAATTAAAAATGGATTAAAAATCATGTCTATATCCCGAGTTGCCATCCCCTGCAGTGTTATATAAGAATATTCAAGAAAGTTTAGGGGAGATCACTCCCGGTTTAATTTTAGATGTAGAAGTGTGAGGAGGGGAGAAGGTTTATGTGTTTACATGCATTTATGTTTATGGTTAGTAGTGGCTCAGGGTTATATATATTTTCTATACATGAATATAGACATTAATTGGAAATTTAATACATTCCCAAAACCCGAGGACCATCGGGTATATGAAGCTTAATAAACACCTAAGTCACGATCCTTTACAAATAAGTTTTTAACAAAAGCCAGTGCAAAGCCAGACCGGGGCGGCTAGCGCTGAATAATGAGGTGCTAGGGGTTTTCTTAGTCAAATATTAGTCTGTAAGAACTAAAGCACTGATGTGTTGGTACACTGCTGGGATCTTATGGTACAGGAGTTTATATTCTACTTATCAAACTTTTAGAAAACATACTTTTCACTTGCTTTAGGTGCTGCCCCACTAATGTGTACACTTGCTCCTTTGATTATATGGTCCTCTCCACAAAGTCCCTGGGCTGTTTCTGGGTCAGCAAAACTGACAAATGCAAAAGCTCTGAAAGGTTTTGGGATGAAAACATCCACCACCTCACCATACTTGCTGAAGTACTGCCTCAAGTCATCTGCTGTCATATCCTCTGTGCATCTTCCAACAAATACCTTCCGATTCATCATCTGTTGGGCACCTTCCTAAATGGTCAAAAAATTAAATAACTAGCTATTTTCAAATAAGACAATAAGACACAAACACTGTAAAAAAAAAATTGCCAGCTGCATTTTTTAAAAATAGGTGTCAAATGACTTGAGGATAATTTTAAAAGTAACTATTGACCCAAACAGCAATTTGTTAGTCTCATACCAAGTTAATCAATATTCCATTTTCCCACCGTTTCCTCATACCTGACGACTTAAATTGTCCTCAAACAAGAACTTTAAAGACAAAAAGTACTTGGCATTTTATTCCAGTAATGGTTAAGTTATATATTTTTAAAAATGAAAACCTTTGAGTTAGGAATTCGAACATCACACCATCTTCCATCTATCATGTGTCTCTGAGACATGCATTTCACTTGAGACTCATACTCAGCAAACCTCACAAAACCAAAGCCTTTAGATTGACCACTTTTAGGATCCTTTTTTACCTGAAAAATAAAGCCAGCACAAAAATTATGGAATCAAAAATAAACATAAAAGAGTATGTATGTAATTTATATATATACTAGCTGCATACCCTTGCTCCCCCATGGTGAATTTTTAAATGTACTGACTTGGGAACCAAACAAAACTAAATACAATCAAAAGAAAACACAAAGACAACGCAAACACAAATAGAAACTCAAACACAACGCTACCACAAATAAAACACAAACGACAAAGCAAACACAAATGAAAAAAAAAACCGCAAACAAAAAAGCAACACACAAACGCTAACACTATGACTGACACACTATGTGGCCGCTTATATTATAGATTATATATGGTGACATGAGAAAGGCCAATGACAGGGCAAAACAACTAACAGAAATAGTTTTACTACCAAAATTAAATTCCTGACTATTTACTCTCTCGAATACAAAGTATAGAGGAATGATTGTAACAGTGCAAAAAAAACCAAACATAGATTTTTCACAAATCTCGAAGTTTTACACCTACCCAAGTAGGAAAAACCTAGTTATTCAATTTTGTCAGTGTGTGTGTATGTCTGTGAACATAATAACTTGAGTACCGTTACAGCTAGGTTGATGAACTTTCATATATAAGTATGTGCTGTCTATTTGGACATCCAAATGCTTAATTTAACATTGAAGTGCTTACATTTTAAAACCAACATAAAACTTGTATCCTGCATGTAAATCGTGAAATTAAGATGACAGTCTTTGTGTTTAAAAAACCCATCACAACGTGTACATGAAGACTGGATTTATAGCTACACTAGGTTATCCAAATAAGTATAAGCGACGTGATAATTTTTAATGATTGTTACCTCCCCTCTAAGAAAAACTTCTCTAAAACATTAATTGAGCATGTCTAAAATCCTTAACTGTTGTGTCGGTCATAAATGGATGACCCCTTATTTCAATTTTGATGCATCATGCCAAACAAACCAAAAAAAATAGAACACAGGGACAACCAATATTTTTTTGAGTAAAAAATATGCAAAAAATAAAACCAGTGGTCTAAGTTGAGATTTCTGAGGTGGCTGATTAAATGACATGGACTTCAAATGATTTATTCTAATATTTGCTTTTTATGAGTTTTGTTAACATTTTTGGCCATCATACACTATTATTTTTCACTGTGTTAAGCTAAATAGTTTGGTTCTTTAAAGATTACTCCAAGTATTTTATTTATTGTACATGTAAAGAATTAACTAAATTAATATTGAATAAAAATCACATAATTTTAAAATGAGACAGAATGATCAGATACAGATCAACACACAGCAGTTAGTTCAGTATAAGCATATTCTGAGCATATACTGATATAGCCTCTGGTAAATAAAGAACATTGCAAATAAAGGATCAGAAAAGCCTCATTAGTGCCATTTTGTAAACCTGTCCTATGTATTTGCAGAGGGGGAAAATATACCATCTTCCACATTGCTTTCCTGGGCTGCATGGAAGGAAATATTTTCTTTTAACTGAGTTTGTATATTCACGTCTGCCTATATAAAAAAAACTACAATAATAAAACAAAAAAAAACATACTTGAACCATAAGAAGTTCTCCAAACTGTTGAAAATACTTTCTAAGGTCTTCTTCACTGCTTTTCCATGGTAATCCCAAAACAATAAGATCACTACATTTCTGCCGCTCAAATCTTTTATAAGATTTCACACAGTGTGAAGGTTCAGAGCTATGAGTTGAGTTTTCTTTTAACTTTTCCCCTGTATAAACAAAAAATAGTTACTTATATTTAGATAGCTTTTTTGTATAGGCAGTATATATATAGATAATACCAGCTCTAATAAATTGAACTTACATGCTTTAGAGGAAAGAACTACAAAAAAGTAAAGTAAAGAAAATTATTAGAGCAGATGCAAAATTTTGCTAACACTTTAAAAAAAAAAGTTTAGATACAAATAATCAGTTTAAGGCTTAAATTATCAATGGTCTAATATAGTTGATCACTTATGAGATACTGTAATGTTGCAACTAGCAGTGATATGATTTATAGTGTAATAATTGTGCTATAACTAAACGCTCTATTTATTTATTATCAGTTATGATTTGAAGCACAAAAAAGTAACAGAAAATTTATTAAGAATCAGTCAAACATTTTATAAAGAAGTTCTTTTAAAGCAACAAATAGGTCTTATGTAATAAATGTATAACAATGTCACACCCCTTTATTAATGTATATGCAGAGCTAATGAAACAGAACAACTATATTTTCCCTGAATCAACTGAATGCTGAAAAGTATTAAAAGGGAAACTCTTTACCCTTTAATTGGAATTGACTATTTAAATATTTTGGTTAGGTTATACTTGTTTATTAGATTATGCAATCAAAGTGACTAAAAATAATAAAAAAAATAAAAACTTAAGCCTGAATATAAATCAGAAATTTAATAGTTTTAGATCAATGTTATAAAAGTTGCAAATCCAGAGAACTTGAAAATAATTTGTTGAGTTTAAGGCTACATTTCTATTTATTTTCATCAAGCCTAAGTTATAACCCAATGTTTCACTTTCGTAAGACAAACATTGATTGGCTGTACAGGAACTCCGTGATCGATTTCTGACAGCCCCACATCATAGATTTTTTGTTTACAAAACTTTGGAGATAAAGTTTTTAAATAACAATGCAAATTTAAACCCATCCCAACACCTAGTTTTCCTTTTTTTTCACTTACAATGTGTACAATAAAATTTTTGGCAGCCTATCGAATAGCACGATGCCATTGTTTTTGTTACCATTACACGTGAAAACCAAATTGAATTTGCTTTTTTTTTATTTAGTTACCGAAAATAGTAAAGTCCAAAAAAGAAACCAGGCAGACAGAATTTCATAACCATATTAATTGTAACTACACCGTGTATGATTTTTAAAGTATTTAACGTGCCTCTTGAATACCTTTGAAACTTTACTCGCTCGCGTCCATTGGTCATTTTTTGTAGTTACTCCTTTTATAACCTTTTTCCCTTGCTTATTTCTGTTGCCTAAAATCTCAGACACCAATGTGCTAAGTTTTATCGTTATCTTAAATAGCAGCAATTTGCAAACTAAAGCTAATCACTTAAATTAAAGCTCAGATGCTTTCTTTAAATCTTTTAGCATATTCAGTGTGATGAATGATAACACTGCTTGCCCCACTAAATCTCATTGTTCAAATGCAAAACTATAAATAAATGAATTATCTGCCTTAAAATGCAAAAAAAATGCACCATTTAGCCTGGAATAAAAAAAATTTGATGGAATTTTGCATCTTCAAAAATAACATATGGCTCAAATTTATGGTGCCCTGTCCCCTTCTCAGGGTACCACTGGTTAAAGTTATTAATCTATAACCACTTGACTGCTAACCCAAAAGTCATAAGTTGGGATTCTGGGCTTCAGTCTGTAGGATGTCTCCAGTTCTGGTGGGTACCTGACTAAAATTAGTCACAGCTTTCGGGTTTGTTTGGTTTGATGCCATCTCATGGCCCATGTGCTGGAAGCAAATTACTAAAATGGGGACCAGTTTCGCTTTCACTGCGCCGTTAAGGGATAAGACACCACGCAGCTTAGCCACCACCCTCATCCCCACCTGTCATGTGAGCTATGGTCACCTCAAATGTTTACAATAGTAGAGCCGGTTCAAATATGTGACGGCTATTAGGGGCAGATAATTTAGTTTTTAAACTATTAGAAACTAAGGGGGGATAAGTTCTGCTTGATATTTTCATTGTTGTCTGTAAACGGCTGCTTTCACTGGGCGGGGTGGGGGGAAAGGCAGGGGGTGGGGTAGTGTCGAATTCACAAATTATGAATTGTTGATAAGTAGAAAATAAAACAACTAGATAGCAGCGTATGCTCGTAATTTATATTGTGCTTATGAGATGTGTTACGTGTAAATGATCACTCAGACATGCCTACCCCTGTCAGCCAAAAGTAGGAACAGTCATGCCTAAAAAGAGGAATTTGTAGCCAATAAGGGGAACATACACGTGGACGCTACTTTACTAAGTCAAAAAAAAAATAATTAAAAATTACTCTAATGACAGTAGGCTTCTAGTCATATATATTAACCAGTCTCTAGGCTACATTTACATACTGCTTAATGTGAGCTTACATTTTTTTTTAAAATTTAACCAGTAACCTGCGACCCCCCCCCACAATAAAAACATTAGCTTTGACTTAACATTATTGATTTGATTATTTATGCCTTGCTATGTTCTAGGCTATATAAATAAATGCTGAAGGCTTCATCATATGTAATATATATTATCTGTTAAGAGCAAAATTGATCAAACTAGTACAAGTCCTAGACCTAGTTACTTCTTACTAATAAGTTCTTCATAATAGTAGTTACTAGTTAAGTTACAACTTACAAGATAGATCAGTGTTCACTATTTCAGTATCTACTAGTAGACCTAGTTACAATTCTAGATCTAGTAGTAGTAGATATACTACCAGCTAGATCTAGTATTAGATAATACTTGTAAATATTGTAAGTAAACTAGGAAACAGAAACGTATTCCAAAGGGAGATAATCGCTCTTCCCTGCCTTTTTAAAATTTACTTTATTACCTTGCTTTATTAATTATTTTTCTCAAAAAAAATCGGAACATAACTGAGTAAAAATCGGAATGACGGAACAAATTACTTTTTTAGGTGAAAAGGCGGGACGGTTCAGATTTTGGCGGACGGTAGGCATGTCTGGATCACTCATCAATAATGGCATTTTATTATAATCTTTTTTTGGTGAAAACGATGCATGGGAAAGAGAGTGCCGCACAAGAATCCAATCATTTGGCTAGATTTTTTTATATCATGCCTAAAAATAGAATGTTGATGCTTTCTTCATTGATGATCGTCTTTGTTATTTTTTAAACTGAAAGTATGAATTATTAGTTAGATTGCAGGTTTTGTAACTTAGTATACTGACCCTTTATCAATTTAAAAAGCATAGCATACTGATTGTGTACAAATATAGCCATGAAACCCAGAAAATAAAAATTTCCAATTGCGATGTCCCAGACCCCCCCTCAAGAAAGCATGTTTTATCTTAGCAGTTATCTCACTTTACAATAGTAATTAAAATTAATTTTCAAATTTGTATTACTTATTTGGATAAGTTAAAGCTAATTTTAACTTACAATAAAAAAAATTATGTTTTAATGAAGGTCACAGTTCAAGTACTAGCCAAGTAATTTGTTTCAGTAATAATGACTTTGCACAAAAAGTTAATATATGCTAAATTGGCTTAGTTTACTAGTGTGTTAACTATTATTGATAGGCCTACATCAAAATGTCTTATTTATAATAGGCCTATTCATACTCATATTTTAATTTATAGGCCTAACATTTTCATTTTGTAATAAGCAAATGAAAAATTATTTTAAGCTAGGTTCTTTCAATTCTTATTTAACGGCTATAGACAGAATATAAGGCCTAACCCAAGCCCTAAAAATCTGCTCAACTCTGAATATCGTCCCATTCATGTCTCTAAACCTGAAATTACATTACAACACAATGAGTGAGTATCAATGCTTTACTAGTTTATAGTTATAACTTGTAACAAGTCTATTACTCCTGTAGTCAGTAGTGTAATGTAGGCTAATTAGTCTAGTTTCTATAGTTAAGATACCTTTCAGTAAAATGAGAAGAGTTGCCAGCTTTTTTCTATCATCTCTTATCAATTGAAAATTAATTTATTTCCTATTGTTCTCTTATTTTTACAAATCAACCACATTTTTAAAAGCTGCTGTGGTTACTTTGAATGTTTCCTCAAAAAATTTAGTTTTTTATTCATTAGGCCTAGGACTACAACTAGGCCTACATGCTCTACAATTTATTTTTCAGGCCTACTGATAATCCATTGCAATTGTTTTATTCAACTTCTAATATATCTAGAAGGTCTACGAGAAATATGATTTATAAATCAGATTTAGGTAGGTACTAGGATTACATCTCGTTTTACGCCGCGCGGCGAGTTTTTCGTCCCCGTTACCCAGACGCCGAGAATTTGCGGCTACGCGAGTGCTATAGTTTCGTAATTTTTATCGCTCGGTGTTACCGCCCGATCAATTTTCGTGCGATTATCGATTTTTCATTAAAAAATGGACATTTTGCGTTTTCATTGTTTTTTTAATTTTGTGCATGGATTATTCAAGATGGAGTGATTCAGTGAAAATAAGGTAAGTTTAATTTACTCCCTACTGTTTATTTTTATAATAAACAGGAATTTTATTGCTTTACATGAATTCTACACCACTTTTCTCTATTGTTTCAAAAAATCAAGTTGTTTGGACATAGCGCACAAAAGTTATATGCTGCACAGATTTGCTACCTCTATAAAAAATTCGTTTGTTTACAATATGAAAGCGAAAGTGGCAAGGGAGGTAATAGAAAAAAATGTGGCGAGCTATGTTTTGACGCCGGCGATAGTGGCGAACGATGTTTTGCCGCCGGCGATAGTGGCGAACGATGTTTTGCCGCCGGCGATAGTGGCGAACGATGTTTTGCCGCCGGCGATAGTGGCGAACGATGTTTTGCCGCCGGCGATAGTGGGGAACGATGTTTTGCCGCCGGCGATAGTGGCGATTTGCCGCCGGCGATAGTGGCGAACGATGTTTTGCCGCCGGCGATAGTGGCGAACGATGTTCTGCCGCCGGCGATAGTGGCGATTTGCCGCCGGCGATAGTGGCGAACGATGGTTTTTTCCGCCGGCGATAGTGGCGAACGATGTTTTGCCGCCGGCGATAGTGGCGAACGATGTTCTGCCGCCGGCGATAGTGGCGATTTGCCGCCGGCGATAGTGGCGAACGATGTTTTGCCGCCGGCGATAGTGGCGAACGATGTTCTGCCGCCGGTGATAGTGGCGATTTGCCGCCGGCGATAGTGGCGAACGATGGTTTTTCCGCCGGCAATAGTGGCGAACGATGTTTTGCCGCCGGCGATAGTGGCGAACGATGTTCTGCCGCCGGCGATAGTGGCGATTTGCCGCCGGCGATAGTGGCGAACGATGGTTTTGCCGCCGGCGATAGTGGCGAACGATGTTTTGCCGCCGGCGATAGTGGCGAACGATGTTTTGCCGCCGGCGATAGTGGCGAACGATGTTTTGATATTGAAGATAGTGGAGTAGAGGGGGGGGGGGGGGGGGGGGGGGCAGGTTTGGTGCGGTAATAGCAATAAATGTTCAATATTTAATTTTAGTGTCTCTAGAAAAACCATTTTATTTATTTTGATGTGAAAGCAAATAATGTACTGTTTACTTTTCCAGATAGAACCTACACTTCAAAAAACCAGCACATCTCTACGATATGATAAGCAGTTATATGGCCTAATGAGGGAACACTGTAAAGAGGAATATGTGATATGAACTAGTTCTAGATTCTATATCATGTTAAAACAAACCAATGTTGAACTTCTTCTGAAATGTAAAATACTAATGAACAGACAGAAACACATCTTTTTAATTAAAGTATATATATAAGTAGACTAACAAGTTAATTACACTTATACAAATAAAAGACCTTACATTTCTAATAGATCTAATTTGCCATCATTTTTATTTTCATATATTAGTTCAGTTTTTCAATTATGTCAGGCGCGTCGATGACTCAGCGTTTTACCTTTTTACCATCTTTTGCGTATTTGTCAACTATTTAGATAGAACCATCAAACACACTTATTTCAGAGCTTCACTCTGGTTAGTTTTTAGCTTTAGATTCAAATAGTTTGGACCTAAGCTGATATTGTATGAACAAATTTCGAATTTAAAAATAGGGGGTGTACCCTGTTCCACCCCTTATTTTTTGTCAAACAGATAGATTGAAACACATATTTTGATTGTTTCTGTTTAAGAATAGAGTCATCTAGAGCCAGGCAAATTTTGAGACTTAAGTGCTTAATAACTCAAATTTGCCATCATGTTGCATTTCACATCAACAAGACTTCGGTTTTGCGAAATTGCATAATCTATCAGCTTTGTAGCAGTTAAAACAAAAAACTTTTCAGTTATGAATATTATTTTGATTGTAATAACTGACACATCCATAGCTCAGCATTCTCAGCAAGTTTGAGCTTAATTTTTGGAATAGTTAAAATTTTAACTGAGATTGTATGAATGCACTGTATATGAAAAATTAGGGGGGGTACCCTGTTCTACTTCTGTTTTTGTTTAACTCTGCCCATAAATTTCTAATTTTATTGTTTATTATGCTTCCATATATAATAAATAAAGACATTGCAAAGTTATAACAAATTTGACCATATGGTTTACAAGCTAGGACAATTTTAGTAAACGCTTAAAAAAACTCTATCACAGAAATTGGAAAAAATCCTATGTTAAAAAAATCACATTTTTTAATACGAAAAAAAATCATAACTATTTAACCATTTGAGCTACATCAAAAAGGAAAACTGTTCTGTTATTGTAATTTTCTGCTCCTTTTAACTGTAGTAGTTGTTTCCCTAAAAAAACAATATTAAAAATTTATCCTAGTACCTAGATTTAGGTATCAGGGGAAAGCCATCAACCTTCTCTAGCCAACTCATATGTCAAATAATATTGAACATTGGTTGTGGGATGAAATACTCAAAAATAAATGTGTCATGCTACTAACTTAAACTTGGGATTTATCTACTAACTACTACTAGATCTTGGATCTAAATCTTGGGTCTAGATCTAGATCTAGACGTCTAGATTCTAGATGTCTAGATTTTTAGATCAATTCAGAGAAAAGTGGGCTTGTCCGAACAGGGGGCGCTACGACTGAGGGGGGAGGGAAATTGTCAAAACAGAAGTAAAATAAACAAATACAGATTTACTTGGTTTATTAATTTAAGTTTGTTAAATGTAACTTAGAAACATACCTTTAGGAAAAACTACTATGTAAACTTGTCTTCCCCAGTCTGTATCGGGTGGATACAAGCGACCGTCGGATAATCTGATACCTCGGAGTGTTCCAGTTTCATGATTTCGGTATTTCAATCCGCAGGCCCCGGGGAACTGAGCCGACAACGTCGTCAAAAGAAGGGTTCCGTCATCTTCACTAGGTACTTCCATCGGCTCATTGCCCTCAGTCTCGGCTACATGAATATACTGGCTCATTGTTCCTTAATTCAAGGAACGCCAGTTCCTCAAGAATAAATTCGTATTTGAGGAAATAAATTGCCCGCCTAGCTCCCCGGGTTTAGCGTAGGAAAATGGCTGCTTGTAGCGCTTAGCAAAGAATCATGGGAAAACAAAGTCAAAATGCAAACTAACTATTTTGTAATTATAGTATTAATCAGCGAATACCAACCCAAAATGTTTAGATAAGAAATATATCAAAATGAAACATGTATTAAAATAAAGGAAGCTGTAATCTATAAACTACTTCTAGTCGTAGATCACGGAATTAATCGAGATTCCCTTGTACGCATGCGCAACAGGCATTTTATCATAATTTATTTCCGTACTAGGCCAATGAATTTTACTATAATGATAGTAGTTCTAGTATTGATACTGTTTCAGTTTTACTTTGTGGTAAAACTGAAAACTGTTTCAAAATAAGAAATTAGCTTCTTGATCAAGATCAAATTCAGCCTTAGCTAGGTAGGCCTTAAATTACCCAGGGAGGACCTTAGCCAGATATTCTTCGTAGGGTAATATATATATATATATATATATATATATATATATATATATATATATATATATATATATATATATATATATATATATATATATATATATATATACTAGCTGCATTTTAAATGTACCAAGTTGGGAACAGAACAAAACTAAACACAACACAAACGAACGCAAAAAGAAAACACAAACGAAAAAAACAAACACAACACTCATAATATAAACTCAATTTAAATGCAATCATAAAGGCATAATGCTCACAGTCTATCCCGTAGCGCCAAATCGCCGGCGAACGCGTCTGACACAGTGAATGACTATAAAACAGAGGCGTAGCGACCATTTCCGGCGCCCGGGGACAAACTTTCGATTTGACCCCCCATCAAACTTACGATTTGCACCCCCTCCCCTCAAAATTTCAATTTCAACCCTACCCTCTTAAACTTTCGATTTGTACCTACCCTCAGACTTTCGATTTGCACCACTCTTGATTTAAAATCCCCCCCCCCCCCCACTCAAACTTTTGATTTGCACACCCCCCCCCCCCCTCAAACTTTCGATTTGCACCCTCCCACCGCCCTCAAACTTTAGATTTCCACCCCCCCCCCCCCCGCAAATTTTTTCCAACCCACTTTGGCGCTCACTGAGGTCGGCGGCCGGGGACATATACCCCCCCCCCCCTTGCTATAAAACCCCTAGCTTGTCCGCAAACCGAAAGATAGAATAATAATTAGTAAACTATACGTTCAGTGTATAAAATAAATTAAAGGCAGTATTTAGAATATCCGTGTTTTACCGACCATATTGCACATTATAAATTCATAAATAAAATAAATAAAAGATAGCCTTTTATCAATCAATGCTAATTATAATATTCCAACAATAATGTACTCTTACACGTCTGCATAATTTGCATTCACATTTTGCTAATATTATTCCAACAATTATTCCGTCTTGCAGATTTTGCATTCACATTTTTAGCGTGAGTTCAATTTATTTTTAAATTACCTCCCTTGGCAAAATTACTAATCAGTTTAATTAGATTTTTCTAACCTACAGTTATTATGTTATTAAAATGTATCCATTTTTCTAGGAATATTAACGAAAACGATATTTGACATTGATCCTTTTAATATGTTTTAGCAATGTGCGTGTATTTAATATTCTCTTTACGTTATGCAAAAAAAAAGTAAAAACAGTGGCAATTATAAAATAGCTCTATGCCGTTATATAAACAAACCCTACTCTATGAAAGCACAGCATGGTGCGATGTTTACTTTTATGGTCCCAAAATCTATAGCGATGACTGACTGACACACTACCAGCCCGCTTATATTATAGATATCTAATATATAAAGCTCAATTCTGTATGTAAAAATAAGTTTGTTTGTCGTTGACATACTTAGATGGATTTAAGTGTTAGACTATTATCGTGCTCATAGTCTAAATTTATGAGTTAAAAATTACTATTGAAAGTGTTGGTAAATAATTTTCATTTTTCAAACTGATGGTAATAATTGTCTGCATGATCATTAACCACAATTTTAAAAAAATAACAAAAGTTCTAATTATGTCTGAAAATTATTTATATTTAGTCCTTTAGCACTTACTTCCCTTTGATAAATTAGGAAAACACAATTACTTCCCTTTATAAAACATTACATTAGTGGAAAAAATTTACTTTTTATTACTTTGTTTTGGTGTTGGGAAAAAAATAATTACATAATTAGCGGGGATTGATCAAGTGCAAATGTTGTAGGTATTTTACGAATAAGCTTGGAGTATTATAATTGTTCATTTGGTTTGGTTTGGCACCTACGTTCGTTTAAGTGAGTGCAAAAGACTATGAATAAGTTGGGGTACTGTAGTCGATTATTAAGCTGAAACAGGTGATTCTGCCCCGGGCTAGACTGTGAGCACTTTGCGTTTATGTTCGCGTTAGTGTTTTCTTTGTGTTTAGGTTGGGTTTGCGTTAGTGGTTGCGTTTTGATTTGGTTCGTTTTTGTTCTTTCTTTTTTCGTTTTCGTTTGTGTTTTTTTCTTTGGGTTTGTGTTTGTATTTGTGTTTGTGGTTGGTTTTGCGTTTGGATTTGGTTTGTTTTCGTTTGCTTTTTCGTTTGTGTTTTTTTTCTTTGGGTTTGTGTTTGTGGTTGGTTTTGCGTTTGGATTTTGTTTGTTTTCGTTTGCTTTTTCGTTTGTTTGTTTTTTTGTGTTCGTATTGGTGTTTGTGGTTGTGGTTGGGTTTGTTGTTAGGTTTTTGTTTTCGTTTGTATTTGTAATTGTGTTAGCGTTCTGTTTGCGTTTTGTTGTTTTGGTTGGTTGTGCCGGGTTTATGATGCTTACTAAACACAAAGGTAACGGTCTTTAACAGAAAGGTTTTTCACAGAAGCCAGAGCAGGGCCTGGCCGGGACGGCTAGTATATATATATATATATATATATATATATATATATATATATATATATATATATATATATATATATATATATATAGTTCCCAGAAAGAACCGCAACGTAAAAAAGCGCCAAACAAAAAGCGCAACGGAAAAAAACGCACACGGAAAAAAGCGCACACAGAAAAAAGCGCACACAGAAAAATGCGCAAAGAGAAAAAAGCGCAAACAGAAAAAAGCGCACACAAACAGAAAAAAGCGCAAACGGAAAAAAGCGCAAACGGAAAAAAAGCGCAAACAGAAAAAAGCGCACACAGAAAAAAGCGCAATTAGTAAAGGTATCCAATAGATACTAAAGTGACCCACGCTTTTCTTTATAGTTATTAAAATAGTAGTCTATATTTTATTTTCTACTTTTTAGTGCATTATTACATAAAAGCTTGTTATTAAAACGTTTTTTATAAAAAAATTTAACTCTTTTGCATAACGTAAAGAAAATATTAAATACACGCACATTCCTAAAACTTATTAAAAGGATCAATGGCAAATATCATTTTCCTTTATATTCCTAGAAAAAGTGGATACATTTTAATAACATAATAACAGTAGTGTAGAAAAATCAAATTAATGTAACTATTTTTTCTAATTTTGACAAGGGAGGTAATTTAAAAATAAATTAAACTCAAGCTAATAAAAAAATGTGAATGCAAATCTACGGACGTTCTAGAAGGAATTAGTGTTGCAATAATATAATTAGCAAAATGTGAATGCAAATTATGCGGATGTGTAAGGGGAAATTATTGTTAGAAATTTATAATTAGCATGTATTGATAAAAGGCAATCTTTTATTTATTTTATTCACTGAACGTACTGTTTACTACTTATAATTTTTAATCAACTATTCGGCACTATTATAGACGCGTCATCGCGCTCATTGGGTGCGCAATGGTTTTAGTTATGAAACTCTAGGTAAAAACACGGATATTTTAAATACTGCCTATTATTTATTGTATACACTGAACGTACTGTTTACTAATTATTATTCTATCTTTCGGTTTGCGGACAAGCTGGGGGTTTTATAGTTGTTCGCTGAATCAGGCGCTTCCACCGGTGCTCGGGCAGGATGCGATTGGGCGCTACGGGCTAGACTGTGAGCACTATGCGTTTATTTTTTCATTTAAGTCGTGTTTATATTTTCATTTGTATTTTTATTTTGCGTTTTTTTGTGTTAATGTGTTGCGTTTGTGTTTTTGTTTGAATTTGCATTGTGTTTATGTTTTCTTTGTTTTCGTTTGGATTTGTGTTTTCTTTTGGGTTGTTTTTTCTTTTGGGTTTGTGTTTTGTAGTTTTGAGTTGTTCTGTTCCAAGTTGGTATATTTAAAAAAGTTTTACCGTGGCGGAGCACGGGTATGCAGCTACCTCACCGTAGCAAAGCACGGGTATAAGCTACACCAAATGCGGGGATCCGCACGCAGCGCGTAAACGCTGAGGTAATATTCGTATCCACACCGTGGCGAAGCACGGGTATAAGCTAGTTCATTATAAAAGTTTAGAACAACGACTTTACTTAGAGTGAATATTGACGTCACATGATTTATTTACTTTTTACAACAATAATGGCGGCTTCCATCGACGAAGTATCTGTTGCCTCTATTTAGATGTATAACGCATTATAGAGCTAATTTTTTTTTGTCGGCTATAGCTTTAACGATATGTCCGTTTGCTATTTTTATTACGTTCCAACACTAATACCATTTTTCAACAGTTCTTTTTATTTTAGTATACAATAAATTTCTCTAGACATCTAGATCTAAACGTCAGCTGTCGAAGGGAGTTATTTAATATTTATAGATCTAGAATCTAGGTCAAACCAAAAGTATAATTACCTATATATGTAATTATCTTCTTGGATACCCTAGAAAACACCAAGCTGTAAGTGCGCCTAGCAGCCCCCTCTCCTCCTCTCTAGGCATATCCCTACAACCCCCACCTCCACATTCCCCCCCCCCCCCGTGAAAGCAGCCTCCTCTTAGTTACAACCCCCAAAAGTTTAAAAACTAAATAATCTGCCCCCAATAGCCGTCACTAAACCCGGCTCTACAATTGTAAACATTTAGCGTGAACCACAGCTCACCTGACCATGACATGGTTTAATAAAAAGGGTCAAACTGTTTATATGAAGCACAAAAAGTGTCATGACGTTATGAACCGAGATAGCTAGGGGGATAATGTAATTGACTTCCATGCGGGTGGCACGGGTTCTAGACAAATCATGTTAATTTTTTTTCTTCAATTTACGTCTTTTTGAATGTGGGGTCTGGTTACTTTGTGATGATAAGTGACAGACGTGATGTCATTTATGGATGACCCCCG